ATGTTTATTTAGGTAAGGTACATACATAAAAGAGATTTTACAAAGAGTGATGGATTTATAGTTAGGGCTAGTACATACAATGCCTAAAGCCACTATTACGCAAAGCGTTTCGGGCATGTTAAGAGGCTGGGAGCTTCAAAATATTTGTCCAAATATGAAATATAGTATAAAATGTAAAAAAAAAAAAATGTTATTTGGCATCAGTGCTGGGAAAATTTCATCCCATTATGTTAAGAAATGGATTTTATACGAATTAAAAAAAATGCGCAACCAGTACTGATGATGATAACACTTCCTAGTTAGTGGAACTTATGGATAATGCAGTGGAGAGAGATGCAAGCACCTGTCTGATGCACAAAGTAGAAAAATAGTAGTAAGGAGGGTCCACAAAGTTGATATGCAGCTGGTGGCTTCTAGGATTGCTGATTACAGTACAGCAATATGTTATATTGCTGTAATCAGACTTCGTTTGTGCCCAGTGTGGGATGGGCTGCCATTCTTGGATTGGCCTCATCAGTCACACCAGACACTGTATCAGGATTGACAACCAGAGCGCAACTCCATAGTCTCCCGAGACTGAAGGATGCCTACTACTAAGTACAGTATGTTATATTGCTGTATTTTGTTATATATCATATAAATACATTGCCCAATGCCAATATTTCTGATTATCCATTTTTTTTCGTTTCGCATCTGATTATGTTGTTGCTTCTACATCTTGGAGAATACGTACCCGTCACAAGTATGTGAAGTTGGAACGAAATTGGTCGACATGTAATTCAGCCACAGGTGACAGAACTTGTGATTTTTTTTTTGGCCGAATTATTCATATACAGTATTTAAACTATTTTCTTTGTCTCTTTAGGTTGTTTTTGCTGAATGGGAACCAAATGAGGACTTTATCACTTATGTAAAGTATACTTATATATCCCCTAACCCATTATTTTCTACCTGAACAGGATTTTCATCTTTGAGACAACATACAAACTTCAGTTTCAGAGCAATTCTCCCATTTTTTACCTATGTGCATCATTCTTAACTTTATAACCCATAACTTTGGTAGTTATAAATTTGTGTCTAAATTTTGCTGGCCATATTAACTTCTAATTTTATTTTTTCAGTTAACTATATTCTCAAACAATATTTTAAAGCAATGAAAATGAATGCCATATGCCATTCTAAGCCCATAATAAATAATATAAAAATTGGTGAAATTTTAAATTACAGTAGTTAATAAATTAGTTAAGTTAAATTAGAAATTTTAAATTAGTTAATAAATATTGTAGTGAAATAATCAACTTTTTTTTTTAATATTTTTTTTCTGTTCATGCTATGATATTGATCAATTAGGAAAAGTTGGTGCATTTACCATATAGATTACGCAAAAAAATTTGAGTGTTTGAGGAAGGTTGATAAATTGTGCACTCGGCCCCTTGGGGATTTTTTTTTTTTTTTACACTATCAGTTTTCAGCATTAATTCCAATGGTGCTCACTCTGCATTTTCTCAACTATGTATCCATGTTATGTTGAGGTCAAATAGGCCATCCTTATCTTACATAAGTTAAATATCCCCTTTCCCAAGGTGAGGCACTGACATGGGTCTAGGCTTCTTTATCATCACTTACGTAATGCTACATGTTGGAACTCTCCAACCCACACATTCCTTCCAAACCCATGTCATAAGACTTGCCAGGTCTGATCTTAAAGCCACAACTGGTTTTACCTGCTCCACCGTGGCCTAATTCTGAGAATGTTCTCAGTCTTCCTCTTTCTGTTCACATTTTCCTCCCATTTCCTGTCCATCTTCGTGTGGCTCTGCCTCCTGATTTCCAGTCCCATTTTTCCCATTCAGTGGAAAGGTTAGCCACCCACATTTACTACTTAGCAGACTGGGGATATTTGGCTAAAACTTCTGGTAGTACACACACAAATCACAATAGCATGATATATCAAATGAACAAATCAAGGCCCTTGTAGATTTGAACCCTTATCAAGGCCAAATGTCGATTTGTTCTTCTGGTAGTACATTATTTTGAATTAAATATTTACAATAGAGCAGTCTCCAAATTCTCGCATAGTTTCTCACTCCGTCACAGTGACAGGTTGTGTGAAGAACATGCCGACACTGTTTACATTTGGTTAGGTCTACATTAGCAAGTTAGGCAAATTCCCTGGAGATTCTATAACCTAAAACCAAACAGTAGTAACATCAAGAAGTCTGCTGATTTTATCGAACGATCCATAGATATGTGGCTTTTCTTGCTTGATATGATAAATGACTAGTGTAGATTTGATCAGCATGACCGTCCAGATCCGCAAGCACGTGGAGGGAATCCCAAGAGGGAATCATTTGCCATCTCGCCATGATCAGTAAAATCAATGCAAAAGGAAACTAAGATGCCAAAAAAATTTAGAAAGTTTTCTTTTGCAAACAGTAATAGACCGTTGAAACAAGTTAAGAGGTGTTTGTGGAGGTCAAAACGGTCAGTAGTTTCAAAGTGTTATACGACAGAGTACTGGGAAGACGAGACATCACGAGCATAGCTCTCATCCTATAAATACACTTAGGCAATTATGCAGTATACAGTATAAAATGTTATGCAATGGAAGATATGCATATCTGTATAAGGTGCTTATTTGGACTGCAAAGAATACTGTTCCTGATAAAGACTTGGTCACTATATTTGATTACTGGTATGACAGACATTTCTTAATAGAAATGCAAAAAATTGACAATATATAGAGCATGAAGGCCAGGGTTATAATTGATATAAAATATATTTTTTCTCTTTCATGTGAGCAGGTTATCTGGTGGGGGAACCTTTTATGGTGGTAAAGGCTAGGGAGGGATGGGGTCTACGGGTGTGTGCAATAGTTGAGAAATGGGTAGGGCAGTGCAGTCTGGAGGTGTTCTGGTGGGAGACTGACTGGCAGCTCTGGGGAGGATAGGGAGGTGGTCAGAATGGGTGTGCAACAGGGATGGAGGGAGGGGGGCAATCATGTGGGATGTTGATGGGAGAAGGTGATGTTCCTGTTTTTTATGTGGATGGATAAGGGGGTCCTGTGTGGGGGGTGTTGATGGGTTGGGATGTGGCTTGGTGGGGGAGGGGGTTCCAGTGTGGGCGGGTAAAGAGTCCTTTGTGGGCAGGGGGGGGGGGGGGTGAGGTATAGGGAGCAGGCAGGGGTGGGATTGTAGGTGGGGAAAAAAAAGTTTGAGTGGGGAGCAGGTAAGGTGGCAGTGGATGGGTGCATGCCGCAGTGGGGAGCAGGTGGGGGTTGGGGATTGGAACTTTCAACTTGGAAGCAGGCTGGGGGCTTGAGGTTCAACTCTGCCAAAATAAACTGGGTATAGCAGTGGGTCAGTTGGGGTAGTCTAAGACAGTCTGGTCTGGGCCCACCACAGCTGGAGCTATGGAACCCGATCTAACATGGTTCGACTTGCGGGCCTGGTCACCAAATCCACGAGTCTGAAGAAATGTGGTCAAAATTATGCACATAGGTAATCCAAGAAAGCCTTCACTGGCCAGCACCGCCCACCCACAATGGAGCCTAAGAGAAAATACACGCTCGTGTGCAAGCCACCTCAGGGGTAACAAACAGAATACTTAGGTCTCCATTAAAGGGCCAAATGATATTTAAGGGACCAATAGGGAGACTAAGCCTATAATGGCCACTTGACCCACTGTCTAACTAGGTGCGCTAACCAGATGAGCCGATTGATTCAGATGGGCCCCACAACCTCCCATTTTACACCCGTCCCCTCACCAAGTAAGTAATTATCAAAAGAAGGCACCAAACCGAGAAGGCTATGTAGCACCATCAAATGTGCGGAATAATCAGAGGGCACTAAATATCACCAAGGATGCCAATACGAGAAAAAAAACGCATAAGGCGAACGATATCAAAAGTATCAGTCACCAAGAATTCTATTGAGGGACAGGTGACCGCGAGGGGCGGTCGGAAAGCAAGACACACGCTCGTCCTGAAAGTCAGGACATTCAAGAAAGACATGCACAACCGTAAGAGGGATAATGCAATTAGGACAATAAGGAGCAGGGCGGCACTCCAAGTGACCATGGGTTAAGCGAGTATGGCCAATACGCAACCTCGCCAGAGCCGTTTCCCATCGCCGGTTACGGTGGTAGGAGGATGGCCACGAGGAAACAACATTTAAGAGTACGTAGTTTGTTACCAGTAACAGACGACCAAGAAGCCTGCCAACGGGTAAGGATGGAGGAATGGATAACCGGGTAAAAGTCGGAATATGGAATACCTTTACGTGAGATGGGACAAGAGCGGACAGCTTCCTTGGCGGCAGCATCCGCACGCTCATTTAAAGACACCAATATGGCTGGGAACCCAATAAAACTCAACCGACTTTACTGTGAACAAGAAACAGCCAATGCTGGATCGCGACAACTACTGGATGAACCGGATTAAAGGACCCGAGAGCCATGAGGGCACTACGAGAGTCAACAACAACTACAAAGGAAGACTGACAGCGAGAAAGCAGGAGACGAAGAGCATAGAGAAGTCCCCTCACCAAAGAAGCTTCCCCATCCCCAAGTGCAACAACCACTGGGATGACAGCTCTCAAATGAAGGAATATAATGGAATGTATAGGTCTCCATACATGGCTAGCATATTGAGATGTATTGCACTTGTGCACCACCACAGCAGGCATGGAAGGGAGCAGAAGCCTCCCCCTCCTACCTGCGGACAGTTCACAAGAGCCCCCTACCATGTCAAGGCACCATACACTACAGGGGATGAGCACATCAAGGTGGTCTTGTCCTGGTGTTCAGCAAGGGTGCACAAGTCCAGAGGCCTGGTAGTTGTGTGGCTGGCTTTCTGAGCCATTGCACCAGGAATCCACTGGTGGCTAGCTAAAAAAAAGTATTTGAGAACTCTGCAAGATAATTTGTCTACCAAATTCCTAATACAAAGGATGTTACAAAAACTTAATCTATACTGATCCTTTTCCCTAGTAAAAGTAAAGTTTACTTTCAACTTTATTACAAATCATGCAGAACTTTGATTACAAAAATTAAAGAAGTTTTCAGATACACTTTCAAGTACATGCCATAATTCTACACATTTAAAATACAATAAAAACAATTTTGCACTTTATTCCCATCTTTTAAAATTACCCACAGCATATAGGACACACTGGTTTGAATTATGACTAGCAACTTGAATAGTGAATGCCATTTAGTTTTGAACTACAAAAATATAATTTAACCATTCAAAAGATTTGAGATTTTCATCACAAACCTTCGTAACAGGCATTTTATATACAGCAAGAGTGCATAAATTATGAAATATTGAAAATAGAGTATCACTGAGAATTAAAAACCTCATACTTTTAAGTAACTCCAATAATAACTTTACTTTTTATGAGTTAAATTTGTTTGTCTATAATTATTAGGACAGATGGGCGAGATAGAGATTCAAGAGGTTAACATAAACATTTAAATACTATATATAAAATGTCAATTTCTGATAAATGGCTTAATTTATTAATTAAAAAAACTTAAATTCCATTAAAAAAAATACTCCCCTTTGAATTCCAATTTATATCTAGTTAAAGTATTTCATTCAATGCTACAACAATACACATGTGAATGTACACAAAGATGTAATGGAAGTGAAGACTTGTAGCACCCATACTTTGAGTTAACCCCTACTCGCATTCTCTTAAGTAAACATGCCTCTCGGTTAAAAGAAAGCTGGTCTTCAAAATAAAAAGAACCTTAGTAACTGCCTTTCATGCACAAGTACCCTTCTGTATTACCATGTACTATGAAAATATATTCTCATATTTATGATTATTTTTCTTGTTATCCATGTACACTGTGCTGTGGAAACAAGTAGTCTCCACCACAAACTACCTATTCTACAAAATCTCTCAGCCTGAACAATTGTTTGGCTAAAAGTTTTTTCTTAGCTCACTTTATGCCTCCATTCATTCATTATCCAATCCAAGCATTTTCAATGTTTTAGTTTTTTTAATATGGTGCACTATTCTTCTTCTTCTTCTCCTGGAACTTTCCACTGCGCCTTTTTCCCAGCTTCATATAATGTTTGGAGCTCCATAACTAGATCCCCAGTGGCTTTTAATTCACAGTATTTCTGATAAAGAGCAAGAGCAGTCCTGGCATCTTCTATACTGTCATGGGTTACACTCTGAATCTTCAGTTCTGTAAAAATAATACATAATAATTAAAACAATACAATGGTTCCTTCAATGCTGGATTTGATATTCACCAGGAAAGAACAGATATTTGATATTCAATACATTCTCCCCTTTGGGTCAAATTGACCATGTCCATATGGAAATATAGTATGCATTGCATTATAATCTAGAAGAGAATGAGAAAAATTAAGCAATCTAAAGACCTGGTTTCAAGAGAGAACATTATGGGGAACGTAGAAAGTTCTTTAATGAATTTGATTGAAAAGACTTGCTGTTAGACAAGGAAGTTAAAAAGCACAATTTTTTTTTCTTCGATAACGAAGATGCATAACTAGGAAACGTGATTGGTTTGACAAACTGCGAAACAGCCAAAGATCAACAGGCACAAAAATGCAATCAATAGAGAAGAGGAGAAAACCCTCAAACATACTAGCAAAACAATGAAGCAAGGAGCACCTACACAACAGTGAGAAGAGAGGCAGAAACAAATTTGGAGAAAGGGATTGCAAACAAATGTAAGACAGAACCAGGCCCATTCTATAAATTAATTCAAAGTAAAGTACAGGTCAAGGATGAAATTTAGGGATCGAAAATGTGAAACATTTACAGACAACTAAAAGGAAATGTGTGAAACATTAAACGAACAGAATCAAATTTTTTTTATTGAAATCAAATCAAAATTGGTTGGGTTGGTGGGTGGGTGGGTGGGGGTTTTGGGCAGTTGGTGGTTTCAATTTATTTTCTCATTGACACATCACATTAATGTTCTTTCTTTGGGTGAATAATAATAATAATGATGAAGATGAGTCACAATAACGTGGCTGAAGTAAGCTAGAGAATGGTCCAGGACGGACCGAAACGTCGTCGTCCCTTCAACTTCTAGTGTGTGGTCTGGTCAACAATAATAATGATGAACAAATCCACAGGAGCCGTGATGAGGGTTCGTTTAGTTCTACCACCAGAGGTAGAATTACAGGACAACAGAGCCAGAGTGCATGGGGGAATTGTGTGAAACCCTGGTTTGGCTTCAGTGGAAGTCTCGGGAGTTCTCGAGGGTGCAGTAGTACCCCAGGTTACAATTATTTTGACCATGTCGTGCGCAGCTGACTAGAGCGTGCATCTGGGAACACCCAGTGCACAGGTTCGAACCCACATCAAGGCTCCTGTGAATTTGTTCATTAGTATATCATGATAAAGTCAATTATCTGTGTACTAATAATAATTATTAGCAATAGAACTTACTGAGAAAGTGCCAGGCAAGGAACTTAAGAGAGACCATTCGATTATGAGACATGTGGAAGAGATGTACTGTATCTATCAGCTGTGCCATCGGTACTGTCATGTTGATTACTCTGCAAGAAAACAGAATGAAAATGATTGTGTAATTTAATACAAAAACATAATTGAATGTAATGAAATGTGTCTGGTGAGTTTTTGGTGGCTCCCTGGTGCTTACCACCTAATTTGTTTCACGCATGTCACATTAGGCCTTTGCGAGTCAGAACTTGGTCCATAAACCACTGTACTGCACAACTCCTGATATGGGAAAAAGGGGTGCACCACCTTGCATATGTTTGCTAGTACTGGTATATCATAAAATTTGGTACTCAAATTCATAAAATTCAATACAAGATTCAGTACTCAATTATCAAGAAACACATGAAAAAAATACATAGGATAGACCTAGTTACAAAAGTATTAATTAAGAGATGCTTATTAATACTTAGTGATTTTAGTATGCAACACCTTGGTGTGCATAATAATGAATTATAAACAATTGTTTTCTAATAATATTGTTAAAATGCATTCCCTGATCTCACACACACACACCAAACATTCCCTGATCTCGCACACACACACACACACACACACACACACACACACACACACACACATTTCAAGAACAAGAGGTCATAGATTTAAACTAGCTAAACACAGATGCCGAAGAAATATAAAAAAATTCACCTTCGCAAATAGAGTGGTAGACGGTTGGAACAAGTTAAGTGAGAAGGTGGTGGAGGCTAAGACCGTCAGTAGTTTCAAAGCGTTATATGACAAAGAGTGCTGGGAAGACGGGACACCACGAGCGTAGCTCTCATCCTGTAACTACACTTAGGTAATTACACACCAAACATTCCCTGATCTCGCACACACACACACACCAAACATTCCCTGATCTCACACACACACACACCAAACATTCCCTGATCACACACACACACCAAACATTTCCCGATCTCACACACACACCAAACAAAATTATATGACTTACTTTGGCTGTGGTAAAGCCTGAAAATCTTGCAATGACATCACGATTCATGTGCGCTCATCGAACCATCACCAGGGGCTAGCCATCGGGCAGAACTTGCCACAAATATATTTTTTACACATTTATTTATATATTTCTCATTAGCTTTTTCTCTTTTTTTTTTTGCAGTAAAGTTATTCAATAGTGTGTCTTAAAAAAATAACAGAATAAAATGATTGGAACAACAGAATGCTCAAATATATTCATGTCACGAGGATGCGTCTACAGTACTGTATATTATTTACTTAGAACAGTACAACCTTCTATTTTTGGTGTTATACTGTATACACACTTTTTATATAACTATGAATATTTACTTGCACAATTATGAACCACCATGTAGTTCTGGTGGGTGTGGTAAAGAAATTCCAGATCAACATAGTACCCCACACACTAGGAAACTCTGGGAAAGAGTGATCACGTCCTCTTGGACATTAAATACGCTTAGCGATATAATCTAGTAGAAAATGAGGACACTGAAACAGTTGTTAAACTATTTCAAGAGAGGACGCTATGGGAAACTTAGAAATTTTTTTCATGGGTATAATTGGACAGACTTGTTGCTAGTCAAGGAAGTAAATGAGATGTATGCCATATTTTGCAAAATATACGATGAAGGCACACACACACACATTCATACCAAAACAGAGATGCAGACCTAGGAAGCAGGGTTGGTTCAACAGAAATTGCGAGAGGGCCAGAGATCAAAAGATACAAGCATGGAATCATTATAGAAAGAGGCCAAACCCCCAAACATACCAGCGATACAAAGATGCGAGAAACAACTACACGTCAGTAAGGAGAGAGGCAGAAAGAAATTTTGAAAAAGGGATAGCGGATTAATGTAAAACAGAACCGGGCCTATTCTACAAATTCATAAACAACAAATTGCAGGTAAAGGATAATATCCAGAAGTTGAAAATGGGAAACAGATTCACGGAAAATGAAAAGGAAATGTGTAAAACATTATACGAAAAGTTCCAAAGTGTATTTGTACAAAATGAGATCTTCAGGGAACCAGACACAATAAGAATTCCAGAGAACATAGAGCACATAGAGGTGTCTAGAGACGAAGTGAAACAAATGCTCTTGGAGCTAAGAAAGAACAAAGCATTGCCCCAGATGGAGTTTCACCATGGGTTCTGAAAGAATGTGCACCTGAACTCAGCATACCACTTCAGCTGATTTTTCAAACATCCCTGTGTACAAGAGTCATAGTAGTTGTGTGAAAATAGGCTAACATAGTTTCAATCTACAAAAGTGGCAGCAGGGTAGCCTCCTCAATTATAGACCTGTATCATTGACAAGTGTAATAGTCAAACTGTTGGAAAAAATTATTAAAAGTAAATGGGTAGAACACCTGGAGAGAAACGATATAATATCAGACAGACAGTTTGTTTTTTGATCTGGAAGACCCTGTGTATCGAATTTACTCAGTTTCTATGATCGAGCCAGAGATTTTACAAGAAAGGGATGGTTGGGTTGACTGCATCTATCTGGACCTAAAAAAGGCCATCGACAGAGTTCCACATAAGAGGTTGTTCTGGAAACTGGAACACATTGGACGTGTGACAGGTAAGCTGCTAACATGGATGAAAAATTTTCTGACTGATAGAAAAATGAGGGCAGTAATAAGAGGAAGTGTATCGGACTGGAGAAATGTCATAAGCAGAGTACCACAGGGTTCAGTTCTTGCACCGGTAATGTTCATTGCCTACATAAACGATCTACCAGATGGAATACAGAATTATATGAACATGTTTGCTGATGATGCTAAGATAATAGGAAGGATAACTAACTTAGATGATTGTAATGCCCTTCAAAGAAGACCTGGACAAAATAAGTATATGAAGCACCACTTGGCAAATGGAATTTAAAGTAAATTAATGCCATGTTATGGAATGTGGAATAAGAGAACATAGATTCCACACAACCTATTAATTATGTGGAAAATCTTTAAAGACTTTTGATAAAGAGAGAGATCTAGGGGTGGTTCTAGATAGAAAACTATCACCCGAGCATCACAAAAAGAACGTTGTGCGAGGAGCCTATGCCTCGCTTTCTAACTTCAGAATTGCTTTTAAATACATGAATAGCAAAATACTAAAGAAATTGTTCACAACTTTTATTAGGCCAAAGCTAGAATATGCAGCAGTTGTGTGGTGCCCATATCTTAAGAAGCACATCAACAAACTGGAAAAGGTGCAAAGACATGCTATTAAGTGGCTCCCAGAACTGAAGGGCAAGAGCTACAAGGAGAGGTTAGAGGCATTAAATATGCCAAAACTAGAAGACAGAAGAAAAAGAGGTGATATGATCACTACATACAAAATAGTAACAGGAATTGATAAAATCGATAGGGAAGATTTCCCCGAGACCTGGAACTTTAAGAACAAGAGGTCATAGATTTAAACTAGCTAAACACAGATGCAGAAGAAATATAAGAAAATTCACTTTCTCAGATTGGTAGACGGTTGGAATAAGTTAGGTGAGAAGGTGGTGGAGGCCAAGACCGTCAGTAGTTTCAAAGTATTATATGACAGAGTGCTGGGAAGACGGGACACCACGAGCGTAGCTCTCATCCTGTAACTACACTTAGGTAATTACACACACACACACAAACACATTTTATTATATTATATTATATATATATATATATATATATATATATATTTTTTTTATATAAAATATATATTATATATATATATAACCTATATATATATATTATATATATATATATATATATATATATATTAGGCAAATATATAGGCTGATATATATATATATATATATATATATATATATATATATATATATATATATATATATATATATATATATATATATATATATATATATATATATATATATATATATATATATATATATATATATATATATGTATCTTCGTGGTAAGACCATTGTGTTGTTGACACGAGTGCAATCGACGTAGTTTTTTATTTGGTGCTGGTCTAACGCATCCTTGTGTGACATTTGAAATGAAATTTGGGTGAAATTCCCAAGAAGAGAGAATCCGCCTGACTCAAAGGTGGATTCTCCTTCCACACCATAACCCCTCTCCTCCTTCCCACCTCCCCATTGTCTCCCTCAACCCAGCAACTACTCTTCATAAGGTAAACATTAAAACAGTATAACAAAACATTTATAATTACATGTGCAGTATTATATTTACATAAAAAAATGTCATACAAGTATGGATGTTTTTGGGAGTGGAACGGATTAAATTTATTTCCTTTATTTTAAATGGGGAAATTTGTTTCTTACGACGAGTTTTCCAGATAACGAACTCGGTGCCAGAACGGATTAAACTCGTTAATAGAGGTTCCATTGTATATATATTATGTATTATATATATATATATATATATATATATATATATATATATATATATATATATATATATATATATATATATATATATATATATATATATATATATATATATATATATATATATATATATATATGTATGTATGTATATGTGTGTCGTACCTAGTAGCCAGAACGCACTTCTATGCCTACTATGCAAGGCCCGATTTGCCTAATAAGCCAAGTTTTCATGAACTAATGCTTTTTCGACTACCTAACCTACCTAACCTAACCTAACATTTTCGGCTACCTAACCTAACCTATGATGATAGGTTAGGTTAGGTTAGGTAGGGTTGGTTAGGTTCGGTCATGTATCTACGTTAATTTTAACTGCAATAAAAAAAACTGACCTCATACATAATGAAATGGGTAGCTTCATCATTTCAAAAGAAAAAAAATAGAGAAAATATATTAATTCAGGAAAACTTGGCTTATTAGGCAAATCAGGCCTTGCATAGTAGGCTGAGAAGTGCGTTCTGGCTACTAGGTACGACATATACATAATCTATCTGGGCGGTGCAGTCCAGGGGTTAACAACTCCTAAGGCTGACGTGACTTGTGTGGAGCTATTCTAGTGAGCTAGCTACAGGTAGCCAATGTTTGGCCCCCTCCAAAAATAATGTGCTTCACTTTTTATCTTTATACACCAGGTAATCAACTAACTTTCAGATATGTAATTAGGGTGATTAAAGTGAAAATGTTATTCTCATTTGGGATACATTCATCTAAAAGTTAATAAAAACATCATTACTCCTGCTAAACATTAGAAAACTTACCTAAAATCATTCTTCAAGCCATGTCCGACAAATTTCACACCTTTATCAACCAGGTATCTAAGTTTCACGTACGTTGATTTGAGGGTTGTCAAATGTTTTTGTGAAAAATTGGCATCGAGATCACCAGGTTTAATCCCTGAAAACTGAGTTAGATAGTCCACCACTTGTTCTTGAGTTGAGATATAGTCATCAAGAAAAGGTGTGCCTTCCAATGGGCCTTGCCTAAAACAGAATGAATATAAAATTAGTTACATGAATTTACTGTACAAGTCAAGTTCACATACATATATGCATAATCATTATAATCATTTTCATTTCCCACGTTCATGAGATGTGTAGGTATCTATTATATAATTTACAGTACAATATATAGTGTGGTTGTTTGCACATTAACAAGCACTACCATATTTTAGCTGTGATCCACAGCATCATTCCCATTTTAAAAGACCAGGTGTATATTGCTCCTTAGGAATTTTCAAATAGATTTTACACTCTGGGTGAGCCCCTCGGTGACTCTCTGAAGCCATGTTGCTAATATAGGTTCCCAGTGTTTAGTCACATTAGTCATAGAAGTCTCATTATCCTACCAGAGACCAGAGCCAGAACCTGGTCCTCCTCAAAAAGGCACAGGGAGCACAGGATTGTTGTAATCAACCTTTCCCACAAAGTACATAGAAAGGAAAGAAAACAAAACAACTGCTTGGTTCATGAAAACAAAGTACTCAAGCAACCAAGAGAATGCTTTGGCATACTTTCTGGTATGAAGCATACCAGAAAGGTATGCTTATAAAAACAAACCTTTGCATGGTTTATTTCACAAAACCTCAGCCCACAAAATGTCAAAAGAACTCTCCCCATAGAGAAAACAAACTAGCCAAAACTTCATCAAACTGCTAGTAAGCGCCACTTCCCCTCTCATTTGGGGGAGGGAAGGGGGAGCCGGCATGGGTCAGCCGGGCCAACACCGGTCAGTTCTAGAATGATGGAAACTGTCAACCGGAGGGAGGGAGGGAGGGTGTCCGGGAGCCTGCAGGGCTCACTCAGAAACTGGCATTTTATTACTGTACATTCAACACTGGTTTTGTGTCAGGAGTCCTGTTGGCTCCCTAAAGCTAACTACCGACAAGGAAGGACAAAGATGGAGGAACTTACCAGGGAGGTGGAAGCACCACAGGTACCAAGTCAAAGACAAGACTGACGGCTGCGACAGATGCCCCAGAGCAACACAAGGCTGCAGAGAACCAGGAATGTTAGCAAGATACCTGGCAGCCAGGACCATGTTAGACATCCAAAACCCCTGTGCCCAAATATCACCCCATACTACGTTACATAAAATCTCTGATAAAGCGGCATACTTCCAAACATCATGAGTAAGAGGATAGACTGCAGGCTGGCTAGCCTTGACGACACTGTGTACAACCCGAGACATACTGCATAACCCTGGAACAGGGAACCAAGGAAACCGGATCAACCCACAACAAGTCCACCTAAATAGAACTGGTGATTCGCAAATAGTAGCGCAAAACCATCGCTGGACACAGCACATGATAAAGACAATTTTTTTTCAAGATGCCATCTGTTTACTGGAGTCCTGAGGAACAGGATGCGAGACACGTGAACCCACAGAAGTTTCGAATCTTACGATATACTAACAAATGTGATATGCTGGTTGGCACACACCCTTTATCCATGATATCACAGCATGTGCAGTACAGTTGTTAAACAATATATTACAAAAGTTGTTTGTTTTGGTTCACCTATCTTCTGGGTGCACACCTCGGTCGATGGTGGAATATGACATACCAGTACTTTAACCCTTTAACTGCGCAACGCGCCTGCAGGCCCAGGCTTCGGGTGCACAACGCACCTCTGGGTGTTTTTATTTTTCACGTTCCATTCAAAACTTTCGTGGCTACATGGGGTTCATATCAGCTTCCTCAGGGCTTTTGTAAACAGATGCCATCTTTAAAAAAAATCATGGTCCACATTGCCGGGTGTCAGAGCCTCAGTAGTGAGTGAGCAACCAAGGCTGGCGCTCGCAGCATGAGCGCACAGCTCTGCTGTTCAGCGTGTGACCACAGCATCGCCTAATAATGTCAAAATATATATACAACCTGTATTATTTAGCCATGATAGTATTATAGAAGAGCCCGAGTGTGATAATAACTGGATACAATATTCAAATATCAGTGATTCAATGCTGTTCACGATGTTCACAGTGTCCACAGCATTATTTCTTCATCCATCTAGGAATCTTCAAACGGCTTCTTAGGTTCCTTTTCAAAATAAACTTGTGGTCAATTATTCATTTACAGAAATTAGTGACCAGGATTATGGTTATAATTAGCGTTGTGCGTAGTATTGTGGAAGGAGGAATTTTGGTGAGGGAGGGAGGGAGAGAATTGAGGTACCCTCACTGTGTGGCAGCCACTCTTGTTTTGCTCACCACACTAGCTTCGTGGTTTGCTATGGGGAACACACAAGTTCATGGGTATATACAGTGTGTGTGTGTATATAGTGTAATAACAGCAACAGGAGTATGTTGAGTGGAGCTATTTTGGTGAGGGAGGCAACGTCGTAATCGTAGCGTCGTCTGCTGTCTGCTGTGTGATTTTTCATGCAGTGTATGGTGGCCACTGTACTGTTTGGACACAATACCGGCTTGCTTTCATAGTTCTGGTAAATAAAACATGTAGATAAGTATATATAACATGTGTAAATAGTGTAATAAAAACAATAACAGTATGGTGGGAGGAGCAATGTTGGCGAGTAAGATGTTGGAGTGAGGGAGAGCTGGCTGGGTGTGGCTGCTAACACTAGCGGTGTTCTGAATGTGTTGATGGTGAATGTATATAGTGTGACACAGTGTATAGTCTGTAAATAAATTGTATATATACATAAATTAGCATGATACATGGTAAATATGTGCAAAATATGTGCACACAAGTGTCATGCACGTAACACAGTGTCCTCGGACAGTACGGATGTTTTACTGCTATAATATAGTGTACATGTTCATTATACATAGGAATAGCATGTAAAAACAAATAAAATGTATTTGGAACTGCGCAAAAAATGAACAAAAATATATTCGCAGCAACTCGAGCGCCCCGCCCCAGGAGCTTACGGCACGGGCACCCAGGGAACGATGACATCACGTGCCACCTTACGGACCCCATAGCAGCCAAAGTAAGTACAATTTCGAAATTCCGTTGCTATACCCATACACAGGGAGGGTTTGTTGACACTTTCAGAACAAAAAAAGAATTTTTTCCCGAGAATTTATTTCATGCGCACTGGGGGGCGTCATATTCATAGGCCGTGCAGTTAAAGTGTTAAATGTAAAGTGCTCATAGACCATTGCTCCCTGCGCCTCTCTGAGGGTACCAAGTTCTGGCTCGTGGTTCCCAGTAGGCATAAGAACTCCAGTGACTGATGACCCCAAACTAATATAGCACATATCAGTTCCAATAGCTTCAGGGAGTCGATGGGGCTCCCCCAGAAATATTCTGAAAAAGGGAACTAGTTATACCCTCTTATGCAGGTAATCCTTGCAACAGACTTCTGTGAGGGTTTAATAGTAGTTCTAGTGCCATCACTTCGAATCTCGGCTTCTTCTTGATGGAGGTTCACAAACTCGGCATCCATAGCCACCAAATCTCCTGCAATAAGGAGGATTCAGTATGATTTAAGTGGATATTTATATTAAACATCAAAATGTTTATATCCTATTTATGAAATAGTATTAATATTATTTATTTACAGTATTTATATTCCACCATGTTCTTATGGATGATAATATACACACTAATTAACCCTTACACTGCTCCAACCACTTTAAAGTGATCTATCCAAATGCTCTAATCGCCTAGAAATGATTTAAGGTGCCCCATAATATTCAAAAGCCCAACTCATTCTAGAAGGACATCATTTGACAGTAAAGAACTCTGTAGCTCATTTGCAATACTTGGAAAAATTACAAGGCGTTTTGTATAGCTGTTGCTGATTGGCCTGACAAAGCCACTGCTTGGTTATTGATTTTAATGAGTTATTTTGATACATGATTAGCATGTAAGAAACGTTGCAAGCATCATATACTCTCTGTTTACATACAGCTGGCATATGAAACACAGCAGCATACAAACAAATAGCATAATTTGCAATGAACATGGCAGGCCTTAGTAAGAAGATGAGGAACATGCCTGAAGCATCACCATCCAATGACTGAAGGTGCAGAGCAGTCATGCTCTGCCTGACAAGCCATTGTACTTTTAACAATACAAATCAGTGATATCCAAGTATATTTTTTGTATGCAAAATGTGTGGTAGATGCAATAGTAATTATACCACACATTTTGAATGCAAAAAAAACAGCAATGAATGTAATGAACCGCCACTTACTGGGTGAGCCCCTTTGACTCCCTGGAGCTATAGGACTGATATGTGCTATATTAGTCTGGGGCTTCAGTTAGTGGAGTCCTGGGGCCAGATTCACGAAGCAGTTACGCAAGTTCTTACAAACTAATACATCTTTTCTCAATCTTTGGCGGCTTTGTTTACAATTATTAAACAGTTTATGAGCTCTGAAGCACCAGGAGGCTGTTTATAACAATAACAACAGTTGATTGGCAAGTTTTCATGCTTGTAAACTGTTTAATAAATGTAACCAAAGCCGTCAAAGATTGAGGAAAGATGTACACGTTCGTAAGTGCTCACGTAATTGCTTCATGAATCTGGTCCTTGCCTATTAGGGACCAGAGCCAGAACCTGGCCTCCTCAGAGAGGCACAAGGAGCAATGGCTTAAAGGAGACCCCCCCCCCCCTTTGTATTTGGGGGTATTCCTTGTCGGTCATCGACTGGGGTTAGGCACTCAGAAAGGTAGGCATCTCAAAACAAACCACACATGGTAGGAAATTGAAAAAAATCAAGACCGAACAGAGAAACAGAATTCGCCAAAGGAAAACAAAGGAAACAATCAAACAAGCAATCATTACTCATTGCTTCCACGCAGCCCTCCCTGTCTTGGGAAGGGGAGAAAGAGAGCACCCTGTCCAAGGACCAGAACGGCTCAGGCGGTGCATGAGCAGGCCGGAGGTGAAACAAAGCACAAGAAAACTTACAGAATGCAAGCTAGAGCAGCTCTGCCAGCGCTGCACGATACAACGAGAGGAAATGAAAAAAAAGACTGCCAAATACACCTCATACTGTCGTCGAGATGAGGACCGCAGGCGAGACACACCATGAGAGGTCCGAACCTGGGATGGAACCAGATGGGGCTGCCCCCAGGTCACCAGGAACCCAAATGCAGCAAGCTGGGAAAGAACCACTCCTCTGGTGAGCAAACCAGCAGACTGGCTTGGAGCCCACACACACCAGTTGTCGAGGTAGACCAAAAGGGAGGCAACGAAAACAAGAAGCATGCCACCCCACCAAAAAACCTAACCCGTCCTTGAACCCAGAAAGAAATGGAATGTGCCAATGCACATCCCAGAGGGCCAGAGACACCCTCCACCAATTTGGCTCCAAAAGAAGCTGGATTTGGGGCAGAGGTGTCCTCCGACAGGAGGGGCAAGGAATCCAGCAGTGCAGAAGGGACCAGTTCAGAAGAACCAAAGATCTGCACAGTCCTGTGACGACACTGGAACAAGAGGGAAACCCATCTGAGACACTAGGTCGGTCCAATCACACTCAGAGGCACCCACTCCAAGCTGACCTGGTTGGGAGAAGCGTGCCCCGCAGCCCCGAGCCTCCGAGAGGAGGAGCCCCCAACCACAGGCTGGAAGACCTGTGGTGCACCACAGGCCAGAAAACACGACCTGAAATGCCCATGAAGCGTGGGACCAAGCATGGGCAAATGGAGCCAGCCTCACACCCCATCTCATCACCACCAATGGGGCAACCAGCGATGGGGCTGGCTATGAGAATCCGACCAGCGAGTAGAGCTAGCTATACGCAAAACATGATAAAAGGCCCCAGAGGAGGCATCAGCACAGATGGAGGTAGCAAAGGCCCACCTTGACTAGCAGAAGCTGGAGCCCCAACATGACCATTAAAACTAGTGCCAAGCCCCCCTAGAAGAAAAAGTGTACGCCAGGAAAACCCAGGAACCCCATAACGAACCCAAAATGGGGGACGAGGACCCGAACACCAAAAAGGCTTGGTTAAGCGGGACAAATTCTGGGTCGTACAAGAGGAAAACACCAAGTGCCTCCCGAACCTCCATAGGGGAAACCCAAGAGGAAGAAAACCTCCAGAACATAACTGAAGAACCCAAAAGAACTGGGAAAGACCAGACACATGACTGACCCAACCCCCAGCAAAAACAGCTAAAAAAATATCCGAACACCAAATGCCGAAGGCGTGGGAGCTAGCAGAGCATATAGGGCACAGACACTGGGCCCAGAACCCAAACACAGAAGACATAAGACCAGGTGAAAAGACAAACACCCAAATGTTCCCAGAGGAATAAATAGGCAGGAAGCCCCTAAAGAAAGAACAAAACAGAGACAGCAATGGGAGGATAAACTCCCAACAGAGGCAAAATAATGCCCCCAAAACACAAGCTCACACGCCCAGCAGTTGCATGTAAATAAATTACAGTGCCACCCTGGTGGCCAAGCAGGTAAAGCACCCTGTACCTGGCAAGGTACAGTCCTTGCACCGCTACTGTTCCTTATTCTCATATCTGATATTGACAAAAATACACGTCACAGCTTCGTGTCATCCTTTGCAGACGACACAAAAATCAGCATGAAAATTACCTCTGCTGAAGACATTGAAAAACTACAAGCAGATGTCAACAAAGTTTTCGATTGGGCAACAGAAAATAACATGATGTTTAACAGTGTTGTTCTATACCAGGTGGCCAGGCAGGGAAGCACCCACTTAAAAGTAAGATGGCCACCAAAACAAGAGGAGAAGCGTCTGGCAAAAAGTGTAAATCACGATGGCAAATGGAGGAAAACGAAGCAGATGGGAAGGAAGGACAAAAAAAAAAAAAAAAACCCGCCCAAAAGGCACAAGGCCCATGCAGAGGCACAAGGCCCAAGCAGAGGCAAACAGCCCCAGAACTGCTAGTGGGCTCCCCCCACAGCCCCGGGGCCATGAAGGGGCTGTGGGGGGCTCTTCTACCACCCTAGAAGAAAAGCAGAGTCCAAAGGAAAGGCAACAAGAAAAGGAGCGTGCTGGTAAGGCCAAGACAGCGCGAGGAGCAGGCTAAAAAAATATTCGTCCCCGCAACAAATGGGGCAACCCCCGGAACCGCCCGAGTCTCGTCCCCAACTGAACCCCGCTCCGACTCCGAAACAGTCAGACGGTATGAAGCCGGCAGTAGAGGGGGAAGAGGAACCACAACGGCAGGAAATGGACTCAGTGGCGCGGACTGAATCAAGACTGAAGTGACCAAGGCTCCCCAAGTCTGACCCAACTAAAACGGGGCAGCCCAGGGGCATTCGAGCGGGCAACCAACCTAGCAAGTTGCAACAACCAAAACCGCCAATGAAACGCAGACGCCGCCTGGCTCCAAAGAACTTCTGTAAAAGAATGGGTAAATTGGAGTACGAGCTGGGAACACGACTCGCAAGACTCCGGGTCGTAGGTGTCACCGACCCAACAGGCAGCATGACAGAGGCACAACAGGTGACCGTCACCCTGAGACAAGGGCAACAAACAACCTTCAACCTCGCACAAGGCTATCTTGAGATTATCTTGAGATGATTTCGGGACTTAGCATCCCCGCGGCCTGGTCCTCAACCAGGCCTCCTTTTTGTTACACATTCCCAAGAAGCAGCCTATAGCAGCTGTCTAACTCCCAGGTACCTATTTACTGCTAGGTAACAGGGGCATCAGGGTGAAAGAAACAGTTTGCCCATTTGTCTCCGCCTCCACCGGGGATCGAACCCGGAACCTCAGGACAACGAATCTGAGGCGCTGTCCACCCAGCTGTCAGGTGCCCCTAGTCAGGCAGACTAAGACGAGATGGGATTTGGAAGGTGCATTCATGGGTTCGTCAAGCCCCGACGGGGTTTTCCCAAAGTCCCGTAGGAGGTTCAGCCTACGGGAAGCTCAAGCAACGGTAACGGTGCTGCAAAGCAGGTTGAGCCCTTTTATGTCAATAAGAGGGAATAGGGCTATAACTGGACCCCTGAGAGGTGTTCAAGTACAGGGGGGGGGCCTAGAGGGCCTCCGAAATACCTTAAAGGGGCTGATGGTCAAACCAGGCAGACCACCTCCTAGCAAAAAGAAAAAGAAAAGAAAAACCCTGCAAAAGCACAACCACAACAGGAGGAACAGGGAACAAGGAAACTGCACTGGTAGGCATGCTGTGCAACGGGAGCAGCACGCCTACAGCACATTGCACCCCAAACCAGCAACAAATTCCTACCCAAAGCCAAACAAAGGCCACTAAACCCCAACTGGCCCCAAGGGCAGGGCAACTGCCGAGCAGCAGTAACCCCTATGGCAGTGAAGCCCGAGAACACCAGGGAAGGTAATCCTAGAACCGAAGGGTAGTACTCACAGGGCGCTTAGGGAAGGAAGCCCTAAACGCATGTAGCCCTCAGTACACTATGTTACTCCTGGCCAATGTGCCACAAACAGCAGGAAACACCACAAGGGCACAAAATCCAGCAAGAATCTGAGGCCTGAGTCGACATCCGCCCCCAGATGCGTTTTAGCCATGAACTGCAGTGCGAGTAGCCAGCGCGTAGGTCCAGGGCTCTCTGCCTCTCTGAGGAGGCCAGGTTCTGGCTCTGGTCCCTGGTAGGCAGGACTCCATTGACTAAAGCCCAAGACTAATACAGTATAGCGTATATCAATCCAATAGCACCAGGGAGCCAAAGGGGCTCCTCACAGAAATATTCATGGACATTAATGATTTGTGTTGCTAAAAGTAAGATCTCTGTATATTTTCCATACAAAATATGTGGTATATGCAATTGTAATTCTGAGTGTACTCACCTAGTAGAGTTTGTATTCCTGTGTGTATAATTATTTATTTATTTAATTTAAATATATAAATACTGTACTGTGTATACATATATAAATATATATTTATAATGTCGATGACATTATTAAGAAGAGCCTTGCCTCTACCCAGTGTCCAGCAGAGAGAGAGCCTCACAATCTACTGATATGTAACTCTGTTAGCTTTGTTGGCCGACCAGATGGAATCACACTGCACCCATGGAAAAATAGAAGACAATTGGCATGGAACTATACTTTTATATCCACCCTGGCAGCCACGTACATCAACCTCTCTGTCGGCCAAGCAGGAGCCGTGGCGACAAAGAGATTCAGACAAGTCACAACCTACGAGCTACACCACAAGTGTAGCTCTCATCCTGTAACTACACTTGGGTAGTTACATACACACTTTACCCTCCCACAGCCACATCAAAGAATTGCCAATACCATGTTGAAAACATTGGCCTAGTGAGGATAAAGTTGTCCCAAGAAACCCAATAGTGGCCTGCAGATTTAGCAAGCACTTGGCTCTATAAACTTAATGCTGTACCGTGAATTTAACCACCAATGGCTCATCAAATGATTTTACCAATCTCAAATTCAGTCATTAGGACTAGTGAAATGGTAAACAAAAGGTCCTTAAATCAAGTGGATGCTATACTGATGTTTACTTTTCCCACAGACATGCTTTAATTGCTGATAAACACTATTCAAGGTAAAACTCACCTTCCCCAGGCATTTCATCTGCTGTGAGTGGTGTAAAAGTAATCCTTTTCCTCCCACGCTGTGCCAATGACTTATCTTCGCCAAACACATCCACAGTTATTGGTCTAATTGGTTCTATGGATTGGGACTCTGGAGCCAATCGACGTTGCTGCCAGTAGAGAACACAGGGAGTCTTCCAACCACATGGAAACCACACTGCTTCTTCTTGTGCTATTGGCTGGATGCTATCCACATTATGTTTGAATGCAATAGAAATTTATATTATTATTTATACGGGTGGCTCACATTTTAGACATTTGAATTTTGTCTATACTCTCCCCACAAAATAATGAATCAATAACACTAGGAACATCATTTTTGCAATAGATAATAATTAGAACATTTTCATGAATGTAGAAAATAGAGTCGACTCTGGTACTCTGTGTATTTTTACTGCAGTGACCAAATTTACCTGACTGTCTGTGGGAAGCCCCTTCAACTTTTTGAAGCTAGCATACTCATTAACCCCTGCACTGCGCAAATGTTTTTGGCAAAAACTTCATGGTGCAATTGTTAAGGACATTTTTTGTTAGTTTTATAAATGTTTAGGTAAAGTTAATGTCAAAATGTTTCCAAACTCAACTATTTTCATATCAAAACACAAAGAGTGATGAAAACAATAAACAAAACATTAAAATACAGCCTAATTAAAAAAAATAGTACAACTCTCAGAACGAAATTTCTTGGTTGGCGCAGCACAGTGGTTAAGTGCCATACCATTCCGAGTCATAGGTTGCAGAATTCTTGTTGCCTACTAGGGACAACAAGTCAGAACCTAGGCCCCTCAGAGAGGCACAGGAAGCAATGACCTATGAATACTTTACATTTAAAGTTTAGCATTTCTGCCACCAACCAGGAAAGGCACCCAGAAAAGTAGGCATCTCAAAACAAATGACTGCATGGTTTAATATAAGACACACAGCCACAATATCAAAATAATTCCCCTCAAAAACAAACAAACAATACTTTGTCAAACCAGGCCCCCGCTTGTTGCCTTCACCTTTCCACTCGTTGGGGGAAGGAGGAAGCCAGCCCGGGAGATCTGTGAATTCTTGACTAATGTTAGTTTGTGCCTGGAATCCAGCAGCTGCTTGTTTTGACTTGCTGACTTTCTGGTTGCCTTCCCCAGTAAGATGGGGAAAATAATGTCACTGCTCCCTGCACTTGTCAGGCCAGATATCTGGTTCCAGGTCTGTGGTAGAAAAAAAAAAAAAAAAAAAAAAACAATCCTTTACAACTTTATGGCTGGTGTAACCCAGTAGATGATAACTATCCAAGCATCAAATTTCAATTGGCTACAAGGGGCTCCCCCCATAAAATCCAGAATGTGAATAATTTTCCACATGTTTGTTTTTCTAAATGAACATGAGGTATTGTTACATAATGCATAGAAGCACCAAACTGCAGCTGTGTGCTGTTGCTATCCGATTTGCTTTGGGAACATCATCACCAGCATCGGATTTACTACAGAGTAATTACACTAACGTGACTGCATCAATGAGAAAATTGGTAGGAGCCGTGATGAAGGTTTGAACCTATGGGGTAGGTGTTTCCAGGTTCGAATCCTCATCACAGCTCCTACGGATTTCCTCATCAGATTTACCGATATCTGAACCTTGTACACAATCTTTATCACTGTCAGATAATTATTTATTTCTTCATAATTAACCACTGTGCTGCGCCAACCGAGAAAACACCATTTGAATATTTCGTACCCATTCAAAACGTGTGCGGTAGGTTCTGTACGAAATGGACTCTTGGGACCTCCAGTGAGAGGCAGCCATCTTTGAAAAAATTCCCAGAATGTCTTAGGGCTGCTGACTGGCTTGGTACTGAGTGAGCAACCATGGGTGGTGCACGCGCCTCTGGCTTCCAAACACCTGTCTGACGCAGTGTAAATGGAAGTTTTTTTTTTTTTACATGTATTTGTTCAGGGAAGGGAATTTATCATTTTACAAAGATAAAAAAAAATTTACGAACACGGGGGAAATGTCACAATAAACTCGGCACATCACAGTGATGTGCCGAGTTAAATTAAGTGATGCTGTAGGTACAAGCTGCAAGGTAGTGCTATGAGCTGCTGATGCATGTGCTACCCATAGTTGCTGTGTTATTACTAAGGCTTTCATATCCAGGAGGGCTGCCCACAATTTTTTCAGGATGATGTCTCTTTACTGGAGACCTGATGAAACAGATACGTGTTCTGTGTAACCACAGGAGTTTAAATCTTATGCTAGACCTAAATTCGACACAGGTTTATTGGAGTACCACCAATAAAACGACCATGGTTAATATGCACAGTTGAAAGGTTAACTGAACCAGCATTTGGCTTGGTTACTACTGCAAAGACACTCATAGTAAAGTCATCAAATGCACAAATTTTCTTACCTTATGTCATTAAAGAGATACCAGTGGGAAACAGACGACACTTTGGCACGAACATGATAGTCGGGGCCAACCTTGATACAAGCAACCAAGTTATTTTTGTCAGGGAAGCGTGGATCTGCTATGTGAGAGACAACACCAACAAGCTCAAAGACAACACCTGTTTCATTATCTTTGGCATCTTCAAGCTGGGTGGGAAAACATCACAATTTCAATAATTGTAAAAATATTTAAGATAAGTTTATTACGTATACTCCAGAAATATTCACATAAAATTTGGTCTACCTGTAAACTTATAACAAAAGTAACACATTACTGACAAGGTAATGTTCACTTACCTCAGTTTTGGGGATATCTGCGAGTGATACAGTGCCATCCTCATTAAGCTTTGCTCTCATGCCAAGTGGTACCCACGAGTATTCCATTGTCTGGTCAAGAAGGCTAAGCACATGCACTGGTTGCTGTCCAGCTAAAAGTGTAGAACTCTATTATGAAATTTCCTCGTCACATTTTAGTTAGAAATATTACTAATAGATTACGTGCATTGTCATTGATTTCTGCAAATGGATGCGAGATATGAGGCATTGCGCTCATCTAATGTGTTCCCACTGTGCACTCTAACACTTTATTCACTCATATTTAACTCTACTTAAAAAGTCTTATTATGCAAGTAAAATAAACTAAATATAATATTCAGCTGAATAAGATGAACACATTAAAATATTTCTGTGTGGAGCCTCTTGTGGCTCCCTGAAGCTACTATATTAATATATATAGTATTATAGGGATCCAATGGTCCCTCCCCACACTCCCCACTCCCTCACACACCTGGTCTCTCCCCACTCCCTCCCATCCACAACACCTGGTCCCTCCCACCCACACACCTGCTCTCTCTCCCCCACTCCATCCCATCCACACACCTGGTCTCTCCCCCACTCCATCCCATCCACACACCTGGTCCCTCCCTACTCCCTCGCATCCACACACCTGGTCCCTCCCATCCACACACCTGATCACTACATGCTCCCTCTCATCCACACACCTGGTCTCTCCCCACTTTCCCCTCCCTCTTATCCCACAACACCTTCCATTCCCTACTCTCTCAGTCATTTGCAGGACAGAATAAATACTGTGTGGTCCTAGCTCCCTGTCGGCTGGTGCCCCTGGAGTCCTTACAGGTGGAATAATGACAATTGTGAATGTGTGACTGTTGGCTTGCCTGTATTAACACAAATCCCTATTCAATTTAATCCATATAATTTGGATTACAAAGAGTAGACAGCATAACAAAAATTCTAACATTCCTAATACAATACCATGATCCCTCACTCGCGTATAAAAAATTCAACGTACCTTCCCCAGTTTCACGACCGGGATGCCAAAATCGACAATCGTGACGAGTGCACCCGTGACTGTACCTACAAGGTCGAGCGGGAGAAGGCTGTAGGGTCGAACTGTCTGGGTATCTCTTTGATGGTGTGGATGGACTACCTGCAATATATATCAGTATATTTTAAAATAATTTATAGCAATTATTAGCCAAAATATATAGGGTACCCAGTATTTGAAAACCGCCGTCAAAATGTTTACATTAAATATGTATTTACTATATATTGAAATTGAATATTTATATGAATACAGTACAGTACTTTGAGTACTTGATGCAAATTAGAATTTGTTATTACATTTTCAACTACTGTATGTATGAATTATTCTTCATATTTTATTTTATGCATTCAGACAATGGTGCCATTAGATTTCTCACCTGCACTAAGAGCTGGAATAGTTTTATCATTTGATTTGCTTAATTCTTTTTCACTATTTCCTCCTTTAGATTCTGCATTTCTCTTTTCTTCCTTTTTTTTCTTTTCACAGACATCGGTTAACAAAATTTCAAACTGGCTTTTCCAGAACTTAATATCCTGTAAAAATCAGGGAAAGATTAAGTATGCTCTTAAAGTGGACTACAACAAGCAGCTGTCTCGACATGTAACTGTCTAAACTAACAAAAAGCATGCATGTGAGGGTATTGCTTTCACTACTTTCATAGAATACCAGGAATTTAGAAACTAAAATTAGCCAATTGAATATCTACATTAGCAAATCACTATAATTCTGTTTCACAGAATTATAGTGATTTGATATCATATCACTTTTACATTATGAGGAGGAAAGAGACTAGAGGAAAATAGAGCAATATAAGAAAAGACTGAAGGTACTCATCAAAACAAGATGATCACTCATCATACAAATCACAGATTTATATACGGTACAATCATTACCAATTTATATCCCATAATCTTGACTAATTTCAAGATACTGTACGCAGTTCATTAGCCAGAACATGAGTAAGGAAGACAGGTCTAGGAGAAACGGAGGAAAAGTGAAGGTAATGGAAAGAGGACCAGGAAATGGAATTGGAGAAGGGGCAAATGGAACAAAAAGCGAGACCAAGACAAGACGAGGATAATCGTGCACAGCAAGAAAGTGGGCCTAATCACACAGGCAAGGAAAGAGACCGGAGAAATGAGCGTATGTGACTAGACCAACACTCACAAATGCCACCCCTTCAGAATGAGACTAGCCCAGGAGGAGAATCTACCCACCGGCAAGAGACTAAGGAGCTGAGCAGAAGTCAGTGGTGTATTAATTTGGTACACAAAGGCAGACAGCATTGCAAATAAAAGGGGAAGAGCTGCAAGAATGAGTGGCAAGAGTGAATGTAATCAACCAGCAAGATTTCATACTATCTATGAAATCAGTGAGGACAGCGAATAAAGTGAAAGATAGTAGAAAAGGTGGCCACATTGGCATAGAGAGCCAGAGCAAAGATTCTAATATTTGGGGATTTAAACCACAGGAAAAGAGTGGTCAACAAAAGATACTTTTGGGGGATTTGAAACATGGAGAACAAAACTTATGGACACTAGACAAACATTTCCTATGTCACCCATATCAAGGACAGCATACATACACGATAAAGCACCTACACTACCGGGATCGTCTCAAAGTTCTAATGTAATGTAACTCCAGATTCTGGGTGTTTCTAGATGAGCCCCGGAGGCTACCTGAAGCTATCACACACTGAAACTGAAATAAGTTTATTGAGGTAAAATACACACAAAGGGATGAGGCAGCTCAAGCTATTCTCACCCCGTTCACATCATACATTGATCAGTGCCACAATACTTAGTGATATCAGTCGTAGAGTACTATTTGCCTAGCAGGGACCACAACCTGTCCCTGCTAGGCACTCCCACCTCAACCAGTCCAGGCAAAAGGAGTCTACCGTGAGGACCTCGTAGTTGGAGAACAGAAATAAAAATAAAAATAATAAAATAAAAACAGAAATCAGAATGAGCAAGAGGCGCACACTTTCTCTTGATGTCCACGTGTGTTCTGGCAATATTTCTTATACTCGGTGGGAGTATGTTCAACAACCGCGGACCTCAGATGTTTATACAGTGTTCTCTGATTGTGCCTACAATACCCCTGCTCATTACTGGTTCTATTCTACATTTTCTTCCAAATCATTCACTCCACTATGTTGTTATTTTACTGTGTAGATTTGGTACCTGGCCCTCCGGTATTTTCCATCTGTATATTATTTGATCTCACTCTCGTCTTATTTCTAGTGAGAACATTTGGAGAGCTTTGAAACAATCCCAATAATTGTGCTGGAGAGGGGGACAAGAAAGAACTGTGCCTACAAAGCAAGCCACGGAGAAAGGGCAACTAGTGCACCAATGTGCTAGTGGAATAGCTGGTCGCGCAACTCCCAGTGCACCCCCACCAGCCAAAACACTCCCAACCCCAGGGAGAACAGACAGCCACAAACCACTGGCTTACCTTAATCACCATGCTGCGCAGAGAGCCTTGAGGTGCTCTGAGAGTTGTGCTATTTTTTTTGTAATTAGGCTATATTTTAATGTTTTTAATGTGTTCATCACTGTTTTGAAATGAAAATGGTTGAGTTTGGAAATATTTTGACATTAACTTTACCTAAACATCTATAAACACAACAAAAATATGTCCTTAACAATTGTACTATGAAGTTTTTGCTGAAACCAGGTGCACAGTGCGGTGGGGTTAAGGGCGAGGACCAACCCTCAAAACACAAGGAGGCCCTTAAAGGAAGCGTATCTTTAATGCCCCAGACAAGCCAACCCTGACTGCACAAGGGTGGTACAAATAGATCGCACAGGGAAGAGAACCCTGAGCTCGTGCAACTCTAAGTACTTCTGACTCATGCTATGTAAATGTGTATAAAACAGCCTCAGAATAAGGTTGCCAGAACTGAAAAAACCAAAGCTATGAACGTAAACAGCTGATAATATAATTGAGCTCCTTATAACCTAATTGGGTTACAAATAGACTAAAGTGGCAAACAGTTGGAATGCAATTGAGCTCTAGGAAACCCAGCAGGCTGCAGAGTCCAACAAGGCAACCCTGCCTCAAAAGGCCCTTAACAAACACCACTTAGATGACGAAAGGAGACTGGAGTCAGAGCAACTAGGACCGCACCAAGGCACACATCAGATAGAACTGAGGGTGGGGTTGATTCAGCAGACTCAGTATGCCTCCCTCCCCCCCCCCCCCAAATGAGGGAGGGAGGTAGGGGACAAACTAGCAGTCACTAGTTTCACAAAATTTTGGTTTATTTTCATTGTTTGAGGAGTTCTTTTGGTAAGTTTGAGGCTGTGATCTAACTTTTAAATCATGCAGTAGCTTGTTTTGGGTCACCTAACTTGCAGGGTGCTTCCTTCGTATGATTAAACTTTATATGTGAAGTTTTCATAGGCCATCGCTCCCTGCACCTGTGAGGACCAGGTTCTGGATTCTAGTCCCCAGTAGGTCAGCAGAACTCTACGATTGATGGCACCTGATAGTATGGCACTGATCAGTGTATGATTCTGGACTCTCCCAAAAAATCTTAATTCTCCATTAAATGTACAATAACTTAGGATGTATCTTACTTGTGCACTATCAAGGCCACAATTCATGGCCAAAATATTTGGCAGTGTTTTATAGCGGCGCCATTGCTCAATAGGCTGATATCTTGTACAAGAGTCGCACCAAGCCTGTCTTGTCTGCTCGAGACTCATACTTCGTTCCACCACTTTGGAAAACGAACAGCTACCTGCAAGATTTTAAAGATGAAGCCAGTTATTAAATAATAGTATACAACATTAGAAGGAGAATATTGTACATAAATACAAGAATACTTGCCAAAATTATGCATACTGATTTATAATAAAAGTGAAGCAATCACTTGCCTTTTCTGTCAAACAAGCATATGTGAAAAGGTTTAGGATGCCCCTAAAATACACAAAGGCCATCCTCTTGTTTAGATAGTACTTAAAGCAACAACGTGGACCATTCTACATACAGTATTTGTGGACCATTCTACATACAGTATTTGTGGACCATTCTACATACAGTATTTGTGGACCATTCTACATACAGTATTTGTGGACCATTCTACATACAGTATTTGTAGACCATTCTACATACAGTATTTGTGGACCATTCTGCATACAGTATTTGTGGACCATTCTGCATACAGTATTTGTGGACCATTCTACATACAGTATTTGTGGACCATTCTACATACAGTATTTGTGGACCATTCTACATACAGTATTTGTGGACCATTCTGCACACAGTATTTGTGGACCATTCTACATACAGTATTTGTAGACCATTCTACATACAGTATTTGTGGACCATTCTACATACAGTATTTGTGGACCATTCTACACACAGTATTTGTGGACCATTCTGCACACAGTATTTGTGGACCATTCTGCACACAGTATTTGTGGACCATTCTACATACAGTATTTGTGGACCATTCTACATACAGTATTTGTGGACCATTCTGCATACAGTATTTGTGGACCATTCTACATACAGTATTTGTAGACCATTCTACATACAGTATTTGTGGACCATTCTACATACAGTATTTGTAGACCATTCTACATACAGTATTTGTGGACCATTCTACATACAGTATTTGTAGACCATTCTACATACAGTATTTGTGGACCATTCTGCATACAGTATTTGTGGACCATTCTGCATACAGTATTTGTGGACCATTCTACATACAGTATTTGTAGACCATTCTACATACAGTATTTGTGGACCATTCTACATACAGTATTTGTGGACCATTCTACATACAGTATTTGTGGACCATTCTACATACAGTATTTGTGGACCATTCTACATACAGTATTTGTGGACCATTCTACATACAGTATTTGTGGACCATTCTACATACAGTATTTGTAGACCATTCTACATACAGTATTTGTGGACCATTCTACATACAGTATTTGTGGACCATTCTACACACAGTATTTGTGGACCATTCTGCACACAGTATTTGTGGACCATTCTGCATACAGTATTTGTGGACCATTCTGCATACAGTATTTGTGGACCATTCTGCATACAGTATTTGTGGACCATTCTGCATACAGTATTTGTGGACCATTCTACATACAGTATTTGTGGACCATTCTACATACAGTATTTGTGGACCATTCTACATACAGTATTTGTGGACCATTCTACATACAGTATTTGTAGACCATTCTACATACAGTATTTGTGGACCATTCTGCATACAGTATTTGTGGACCATTCTGCATACAGTATTTGTGGACCATTCTGCTTACAGTATTTGTGGACCATTCTACATACAGTATTTGTGGACCATTCTACATACAGTATTTGTAGACCATTCTACATACAGTATTTGTGGACCATTCTGCATACAGTATTTGTGGACCATTCAACATACAGTATTTGGACAAAATGGACAATTAGAAAGTAGAATTTAATATTGAATTTGAACAAGCCAAAAAAGGTTTCATATTTAAGTTGCTAATAAATCCTAACCCAACATCTTAGGCCCAATACATACTATCCGAGGCCTACTACATACATTTACAGCACTATACTAGGCCTAGCAATATTTAAGTTTGTTTTTTAGCTTTAGTTATATATAACATGTGTATATAGTGAAATGACAGCAAAAACATTGTTTGATTTATCTTAGAATATAATACATGTGTCACCGTACATATATGAACGCCATAATTTTCCGCATAGTGATATTTCATACATTTAACTATATAAATTCCAAAAATTACACGCTTTTGAATAATATTATAGTAAAAAACCAGAGAAGAAACAAATGAGACATTGAAATAAGTGCCGCTCCATGGGGTGGCGGGGGCGAGTGTATCCCCAGGTGCCTACTCACTCACCGCACATTAATTGCTCAACTTCTCAGGGACATCAAAATTAAACTATGTCGGATACAATATTTTATTTTAGTTTCTCGTGAGTAGAGACAATTTTAACACTATAAGAATATAATCTTTTGGAATATTTTTTGGCACACCACGGGGGGGGGGGGGGGGGGGGGGGGGGGGGGGGGGGGGGGGGGGGGGGGTCGTATTTTAATGCAGCTCAGTACAGTGGTTAAGTATGATGCTCTGATGGCAGGTGTTGTTAATGTGTCTTGGGCCATTATTCAGGTGCTTGTTTTCATGCAAACAAGGGGATTGTCAAATTAAACTAAGCAACAATGCATGGGTTTAATACACTCTTCACCACTCTATTACCAATTTGTTATGAAACTGAAATATTAATTACTATTAACTGTAAAACTTACAAAACACTAACCCTCATTAGAATCAGGGAAAGTAAGGTTAACAAGTAGTGAAGTTGTGTCTTTATGGATTTCATGGTTGCAGCGGGTACACTTGTTTATGCTGACCACATGCGACCCAAATATAACAGCTACTGGTGAATACTCCCTCTTGTCTTGACTTTCAATCCTCTCTCCTGCCTCATTTTCTGAAATCATTTAAAATAAACATCTATACTACATTAATCTTTTATATAAATAATAAAACAGTGCACAAACAATTACTCGAGTAATATTTATACAGTATTGTCAGGCCAGTTAAGTGTTCTTGGCTGAACACATTAATTATTCCAATCTAAACAGTCAATTTTAGTCTCAAATGTAAGATACAAACCCAATTTTTCTCATGAATAGATTGCAATGTTTATCGATTCAGTGAAATATAAAACAGAAGGTACGGAAATGTCCTTCATAATCAGCGAAATATTAAACTACCACCAAGATGAAAAATGCCCTTCGTAGTTAGTGTAATATGATACAGAAGTTAGGGGAAAATGCCTACTTTGAGTTTTAGTTGCCAAAATAGATATAATACAAAGCTTACAATTTAAGAGATTCTCACTTTGCGGGTGAAATATCATAGAGTCAATTAGAATCTTTGCAAATTTATTTTGATTAAATTTTTTGTATAGCTTATTACATTGCCCTAAAAAGTTAGAAGGGTTCTTTTGAGTACAAAAATGCCAGCATTGAATGCAATGAAACTTCTCTTTCTGGATGAGCCTCAGAGGTTCCCTGAAGCCATCATGCTGAGATTGCTCCATGCAAATAGATCACATCAGATGCCAGAGTTCAGTTTGGCCTACCCGGGACCTGGCCCCTTCCTCACAGAAGTGCAGAGAATGAAAGACAATTTGCCACCACACTGGGAAAGCATCCTGTTCTCAAGCTGATGAGCAGCCTGCAAATTAACCCGGTAGGTATGGAGGGAGGGAGGGAGTGAGTCAGGGAGCCACCGGGGCTCATCCAGAAACAGGCGTTTCATTACATTCGATGCTAGGTTTCTGGAAGAATCCGTGGTTTCCTGTGGATAACTAACCACAGCGAACAAAAACAGGATTTTCCTGGGAGGAGATGTGACATGCACTAAAAGAAAGGAATCCAGGCAATGATTGTGTGTCCATGGCAACACGTGACCGACTGGGACCAGACACATTAACAAATACTGGGCCACCAGAACCTTGTTAGAATGTTAAAAAATCCCTAGCCCAAATATCAGCCAAGGACATGTTGTACCTGGATTGTACCTGGAGAGGGTTCTAGGGATCCTTCTACTCCCAAGCCTGTTCTGGGACCAGATTTGACTTTAAGAGTGCCTGATTCAATAGAATAGAGCTTGGAGCGATCCACAGACCCACAGTTGGTTTGGCACTTCTTGCACGAAAATGTCTAATTATTCCTTAAAGTCCACTTTTGTTCTAGTAATCTTTCTTATACTTGCTGGGAGGATATTGAACAGCCATGGACCTCTTAAGTTCATGCGTTCTCTGATTGTACCTATGGCATCTCTGCTTTTCACAGGCTCTACTCTACATTTCCTACCTTATAGTGCACTCCAGTTTGTTATTTTATTGTGCAAATTTGGGACCTGACCTTCCAGTATTTTCCATATACAGTATAGTGCCAATATTATGTGATACCACTCTCTTCTTCTTTCCAGAGAACTTAGGGGAGGTGGGGAAGAGGGGAAAATAGGAGTGGGGAAAAGGGGACAAGGTGAGAGAGAAGAAGGGATAGGGAAGAGAGGAAAAGGAAAAGGGAAGAGAGGAAAAGGAAAAGGGAGGGGGGAAGAGGAAAAGGTGAAAGGGTTATGGGGGAAGAGAGGAAAAGGTGAAAGAGGGAAGGTGAAGAGGAAACATTGAAAGAAAGGGGAATGGGAGGAAAATGTGAGAGGATGAGGGGGAAGAATGGAAAGTTGAGAGTGGGGGTAAAGGGGATGGGGAAGAGGGAAAATTTGGCGAGAAGGGCCGGAAGACAGAGGGACGTTAGGAAAGGGGTAATGAAGAGGGGTTGGAAGGAGAGAGAGAGACTATCCTAGGCACTGCCAGGTACCCCTTCTAGTAACATACAAGTACAGTACTTACTAGCGAGTTCTTGCTCTTCCATACTGGTGTCTATTGTCTGGCAGCTCATCTGAAACAATCTCTCATCCATGGAGTCAACATGGGAGTGATCCAATCTTTCCTCAAGTGTTTCTGTATGCAGCTGTTGCAGCACAAACCTGTTCCAACTCTTCATAACCAAACAAAAGGAATGTATCAATATCTTGCTCTATTGAAATAATAAACACTGTACTTCCACTCAAGCATCACTCAAGTGTACCAGAAAACCAAAACCACTTTGTTACAGTATTGTTGTATTATCATTATATTTGGTTGCAATATGAAATAAAGAAGCCTTCTGGTGTAGCATGCCTGAGCATTTGCTTATCTCAAATTCAGCGACGAAAAAAAATAAAATAAAAAAATTATTATTATTTTAAAAGGGGGGGGTTCCACCTCTGGTTGCATTTGTAGGACCCTCGACCTCGAAGAAGACAATATGCAGCATCCGGGGAAGCCTTGTGGGGCACCTGCATACACTTACATTGTCACACAGATACTCATGCAGGGAAATTCTTTACAGTGAGATCTGGATACCAGAATATAATCTACTGTATATAGATATGACAGTAACCGGTTACAGGGAGGAGTAAGTTTTTATATTAGAGAGGACCTTGAATACTCAGCTCCTTAACCACCAAGCTGTGCTGCCTTAAAATATGGCATTCCCACTGTGCACCAAAAATAAATTCTTTGCAAAAAATTATTTATCTTTCCAAAAGTGTTAAATACCTTTCCCTGATCACATTGTTGAAAATATTGCACAAATGTACTTTGGCCATAGTGGTGTCCAGAAAATGTCGTGTGACGTCACGGCTCGGTGGTTGCCAGTGAAGTGGAGACGTGGACTCCCGGAGCCAGTCGCGCGTCAGCTTCAACAGGCACGAGTTGACAAATATTTTTTTTTGTTCATTTTTTTTGCACAATTACAAATGCATTTTTGTTTTTTTTGGCTAATCTTATGCATATTGAACAGGTTTACAATATTCAGACAGTAGAACATCCGTACTGTTCAAAGAAACAGTGTAACGTGTATCACAAATGTGTCCACAAAAAATTTCTATGTAACATGTTCAATTATGTACATTTACAACTTTTTTACACACTGTACACTATTACAGACTATATACATCACCTTAGAACACACTTAGAACTGTGCGAGTGTGTGATAATCAGTGAAGCAGTCGACGGGGCATAAGGCAACTTTGCCCTCAAAGCACAAAGTGCAGATGGATCTTCGCTTCTGTTCCCTACACTGCTTTTTCTTGCAAACAACACCGACACGTTTTTCCTTTTCTCGTGTGCCTGTGTTTAGCAAGTAACTAAGCTTGTGTACAGCCAGAATTTCTTTACCCGAGTCTGTCAGGAACTGTGTGAGGCAGTGTTGCTGGCACCCCATGTGGCACAACACTGCCCTCCACCCCATACTTCAGTGAGAGTTGTGACACTAGAGCAACATTGGATGTACGGATTGGTGGTCTCTTGCCAGATTTCACGAGATACATGTTGAAACAGTTCAGCACTGTAACATCAACCATCAACGAGGTGGAAAAAATTTCTTTGTCCACTTCACAGATTTTTGCAACCACTCGACGGCACCAACCATCATGTCACATTTATCTACTAACCGCACATTTACATTGTAGTCAATGACACAATCAGGTTTATACATTGGCAACCTTGTTGCAAAGTTCACTTTGCCACTGTCCAACATGGCACCAGTGTGAATAGTTGTAAAATATTCACCTCGTGTTTGTCCCTCCAGCGCACTGATAACATTTGATCACACTTTTATAGCTGGCATTTCCCTCCTGTTGGCCTTGACAGTGCCACATACCCCAGTGTTGTGGTGAAGGAGGAATCTGATTAGCAAGAGACTGGTGTAGTAGTTGTCCGTGAACAGGATATGCCCCTTGTTCAGCAATGGTTCCGTGAGTGTTTTTACAACACTGCCTGAAGAACCTGTGTGGATCTTGACCTGGTATATAAACGTCTGTACCAGAATACAATATCATGTACACAACAATACCAGTTTCAGTCACATAGCAGAAAGAACTTTAGTCAAAACCTGTGCTGCTTTGATGGAACGTACTGCTTGAACGCCAGTTGTCCCTTGAAGAGGACTAGCGATTTATCTATCACGACATTGTGCTGGTACAAAATAGTGGCAAAACTTTCCTCTCAAATCACCAAATACTTTCCGCACTTTTCAGTCTTTCATGTCTGTCTTCATTAGCATTGTTCTGAAAGTGCAGGGCACCTGAGAAGCAGCAGGAACCTATCATGTGACATGAACCTGTTGAACAAGGGGGGTTGGAAGAAGGCTGTTTTTGTTCCAATAATCCCGGATCACGTGTTTATCTGCATGCCTCATCATCATGCACAACGCTAAAAAAACACAAACATTTCCTCATAAGTCATGTTTTTCTAACGTGTCAATTGCGAGGCAAATAAAATTCCCAAGTCAATGAGTTCCCGAGCGTATTCGCTCGTCTCTGCAAAGAGATGGTCTATGAATTGCTGATCAAAATATGCCATAAAATAATCAATTTCATGCATATCACCACCAGTATAGGGAAATAAGGGTGTAACACCAACATCAGTATCATCAAATGTTGGAATTTGTGGGACAAAATTCTCACAATCCTGCCACACAACTACACCAGTATTTTTGGTTTTGGCACCAACACCACAACAAGAACCACCAGCACGGGCGCCAACAACACGGCTTTATCGTCTTGTGCTAGAGCTGCGTATGGGTACAGGAGATGCCAGGAGATGAGGGCTTTCTGCATACTAGTAGTATAGGCATACAACGAACACCTGATGTCGAGGGCGCAATGTCGTCATTGTCCTCAGGCCGTGTGACACGCTGTGCTTGCCTCGTCGTGTTGTTGGGGCAGCAAAACCCTACCTAGTAACACCATAGCTGCTTGTATTCGGTTTGTCAACACTGCCTGTATCTGAACTATGTCACTGAACCCCGAAAACGACTCGTCACACGTAGAATCACCCAATAAACTCACGTCAGGTGACAGATGGTGATGGTAACTCTAGCAGTGTTGACCCAGGGCGGCGTGGGAGGCCAGGCGAGGCACGTGTACTGTACACACTCTCGACATCGTCCACCGTATTCTCCCCATCACTCGTGTCAGACCTTTGTTTCAGATCTTTCTCTGGACTGTAGTCTAAATCATCGGTAATGGGCCCATCATCAAACAATATGTCCCGAATTTCTTCCGAGACATGTTTTTGCAACACGACGGCTGACCGTAGACCGAGAGCTTGTAGATGAGCATCAGACATGGTTGCTACCTTGAAACGGAGGCTCCCCATGGCTATAAGGCATGCTGGGAACTTTTTTCAAAATGGCGAACAATCACTGGAGGTCTCAAGCATCCATTTCGTACCCGAGTCACCGCACGCCAGTTTTGAATCTGGCGCTATACCTACGACCGCCCCAAAGCGTTCTGTGCACCACCGATCTAGCGCCTCAAGGCGCTCTGTGCAGTGCAATGGTTCACTCTATAAATGAGGCAGTAGAAATACTGGGAGTAAAAATAGAAAAAATAAACTTATACTGTAATTCTAATATATAAACCACCAGATGCAATGGTTGACGAATTCAGAGAAAAGATAAGGAAAATACAGAATAGCCTCGATAATCTGGCAAACCCAATACCCGATATTACTGTATCTTCATAGAACACTTCAACCTGTCCAGTCTAAAATGGAGAATAGCAAACATTATTATTACACCAGTAAATCTATCTGGAAATAACCAACCACAGGTCAGAGAACTCTTCAGATTCTGTGATGAATTTTCATTTAATCAGCATATAATGGAGCTAACTAGAAATGAAAATATTCTAGATCGTTTGTCTTCACAAACAATGTTTGTTTGAAATGAAGACATAATCAGGGACATTACAATCACAGATACCACATACTCCTGGTCGTGAGAAAATTTGTCATTGAATCCGAGTAGTTCACTGACCTAGGAAAATAGGAAAACAATTAGACAATTACTATTACTGAGGCCAGTATATCCCAAGAAGCCATTATTTTCATCATATTGAACTTTGTGCTCAATGTCCTGTTTAATATTTTCCTTAAATGCTCTGTGTATTAGAGGTTTTATTTAATATGCAACCTCTTTAACTACAAATAATCCATTGTATCATGTTCTTATGTATGCAATAAAGATCAATAATTGTTGATCTATTAAATGCAGAATAACCACATTTGAAAAGTGTGGCATTTGCTAGAGCACTTTCAACCCAATCAGGCCTTTTACTATTGCAAAGGCCAAACAGGGTTAAAAATACTACCAAATATTTCACTATACAAACATGGTTATTATGCATGTTCTTATGTATATTTAATTAATAAAATTAGTATTTTATTACTATTATAATTATTATATGGTTGGGAGTGTGGGGCGGTGTGCCACCATAGTGGCAATTGGAGCAGTTCTAGGGTTAAAAGGCAAATAAATTTGACAAATATGGCAGGAAAATACAGTGAAGGCCTTCTTAAACTAATTGGGTTAAATGGATGCATCGATATGAAAATGATAGTTATTGTCACTCCTGATTTATGTTATTTTGGCTAATATGGATTTGTGCAGATAACATAGAAATTAAACATTTCTATTTGTAATTTACTTTGTGATTTGGTATAAAAATATGCAAATATTTGTTCAGTCATTTGTACTTTCACAAAATTATTAATTTTGCTTCACAAACAGAAAAAAGAAAAGAAACTAGTTAAGATAAAAGCTTGGATGCAACTATAGGTTTCAGTTCCAACTAATTTGAATAATCAGGACTTCACTGTATTTAGTTACAGATGTAGCTGGTGAGAAAGAAACCCTAATTATTTTTTCAGGGGGCATAGATAAATACAAATACAATTTATTACCATGTCAGTCTTATCCTCACCTGGATCTTTGATGCAAAAATAATCTTTGCTCGATTGTCTTGATCAGAGAGAGTAAGACCCATGGCAGAAGCTTCAGGAATCGTTCTGAATGCTCTCAAAAAATTTGAAGCATGACAAGGTATTCCTTGTCCCATGCTGACATCAAGCATGTGGAATAGGAAGCCCAGCTCGCACACTAAACAGAACTCACGTTCACACAAGTGAGACATCATCAGAGCACGAAGGGGAGCTATATAATAAAACATCTGGAAAAAAAAAAGGTCATCAAAAGAAAACACTAATTTGTTCAATATTATATTTCATTACAGTACTGTATATTAAATGATATTTTTAAAATCTTGATAACAAAGTTTTGAGTAGCACATAGGCATATTTCACTTATTAAAGGATACATGAAGACAAGTAAAAAAGCTTTTACACTATTTCTGGGGGAAGCCCCTTGGTGGCTCCCTGAAGACTTCCAGCTTCTCAGTCACATCAGCCACAGGCTCCCTGTTGGCCTACCACAGCCAGACATAGGGTCCCATCACAGTGGCAGAGAGCAGGGACTGTTATACCCTCACCCACACCAGGCAAACAACCAGTAAGTAGACAAGACAACACAAACAACGGCATGTTCGGGAGAATGAAGCACTCACGCACCCAACACACACACTACAAAACATTCACTCAAAATAAAGTGGATTACTCAAAACTGATTACAAAATTGTAAAAACGTAGGTAGTAAAGCAGGTGGAAAAATTATAGACCGATAGCTCTAACTTCACACGTGAAAATCTTTGAAATAGTACTAAGAAGTAAGATTACAAAGCCCATGGAATCCCAACTACGCAACCCCGGGCAACACGGGTTCAGAACAGAGGCATTTCTGCTTCTCACAATTGTTAGATCACTATGACATGGCCTTAGATGCCATGGAAGATAAGCAAAATGCAGATTAAGATGTAATGTACAAGAGACTTTGCAAAAGTTTTCGATAAATGTGACCATGGTGTTATTACGCACAAAATGTGCTCAAAAGGAATTACTGGCAAAGAGGGAGATGGATCTTTAACTTCCAAGCAAACAGAACCCAGAGTACAATAATCAACAAAGTAAAATCCAGATCTTTAACTGTTTAAAGCTTAGTTCCTCAAGGTACTGTAATTGCTCAGGTGATTTCTCATATCCTCATATCGAATACGGATACACTGGTTCTCTGGGGAGGGGGGGGGGAGGGGGAGCCCCCTTCAGCTTCCCGGAGCTACTTAACCAAAGATAAATACAAGGGAACTTACCAGGGAGCACCTTCAAAGGACCAGACTGCGACTCTTATGTCAGGCTGCATGCATCCGCTTCGAACAGCCTGCTTGATAAAACCAGCAACTAGGAGGCCTGGTCAGAGACCAGACTATGAGGACACTGATACCCAAAATCATCTACAGATATAGTAGACCTACAGGCCTTGCCTGTAGGCCTGCCTAACCAAAAGTACTACCAGTACACCCCCTCACAGTAAAGTTTTACCCCAATGTCTTAACTAAAGATACAAAAAACATACTATACCTGTATCATTGGATTACAGTAGGAATTTGGAAGAGACATGTCAAGTCCAGAAAAGCTTGTTCGGTTGTATTGGTCATAATCAAAGTCATCCATGCCAAGCTTGCCATACTTAATCTCAATTTTTCGGTATCGCCATGGAACATGAACTGCAATTCCTTCTTCACTTCTCCCAAAAACATTTTCATTTGCACTAGATTTCTGTCCTTTTGCACGACTGAACTTATATGGTACCTAAAAAAAATGGATATAAAGTTAGTTTATGTAGTAAATTACATAATTTTTAAGTATTCAAACACTCAACATAAAAATCACTGTGCATTACTATGCATGCACGAGTTTAGTTCCAATAAGCAGTTAAATCTTTTAAACAAAATCAGACCAAGTTAATATGAAAAGTGACTTTACAGAATGTTCAAATGAACAGGATCAGGATAATCTGGACAAAGTACCATTATGCAGTGGTGCAGCAGGTATTTTGTTTCAAAACATTCCTGGTTGGTCATAATGGTACACACAGTGGAGAAAAACACAATATAAGCCTACATGACAATGTAAAGTTCACTCAAACACTCAGACTTTCTGTCATACTTGCCATGAAAAATATTGCATAATTGTACTCTCACTAAACCATTTATTTTGCAGCTATTGTACATGCAAAACTAACCACCCCCTGACTGGAGTTACAGATACATGAAATCTCCATTTTCCATTAGGACACAGTAATCTACAAGCTTTCCCTCATCTATTTGTTTTCTAGAAGTGCCTCTTAGACTGCCTCAAATTTGCCTGCATCATGTATTTCTTGGGGCCACATTTTGCCGATTTACCAGAACAGATTTGTGTGCAGCTATGCTCTTCACCAGCACAAGGACGGCTGGTAGCAAACACTCTAGACCTTGAAGAGCCTTCTCATTTAATAGTTTCCTCTTGAGGATATCTAGATTTTCGTTTCCTGGAAGACTCCAGCTCCTACACTACAGTGTAGAATACCAATAATCTGGAACCAATTGGCCCCTATGGCTGTACAGGTTAACTGAAGGCTGTCAGTAACAGAATTTTGGGCAGCTCCCCACATTATTTTTGCTTAACTCCTGACTTTTTTCCAGATTTTCTTAATTGATTCTTGTGTTAATAATCATTCTATTTCTCAAACCTTCAACTTTATTAAAGGTGATGTGTACATTTGTTTGGACAAGAAAAATTTGAAAATTTTAACAGATGATATTTAATGTCAAGACATTCCCACACTTAGACTGTATAGCATAAATTTGCTCTTATTTTTTCTTGGAGTTAGAAACGGCTTATTTTCTGGCGGTGAGAGCTGTTGCGGCTCCCTGAAACTACAATGCTGATACAGTGCCAAACTACAAGGTGCGATTAGTTGCACAGTTCTTTTAGGCTTACCAAGGACCAGGCATCAAAACCTGGTTTCTCTCTATAGAAGTGCAGAGAGCAGTAGCACTATGATAAAATTGCCAGTGAATTTTAATCATGTCCACCACCACTGGAGAAGCACCTACTAAGTTAGTAAAACAAAACAGACCACTGCTGGTTATAAGGAAATATTGATGCTTCCAAATTGCTAAAAAACACTCCAATAACAATGTCAACAAACTATCAAAATCATGAAACTAGCACAAGCTTGTTTGCCCCACTCACCCCTTTCATATAGGGAGGAAGAGGGAGGCAGAAAAGATGAGCCATCTGCTCCACTCTCAGTTCTTACTGATGGTAGGTAGTGGCTGTTTACTCTAAGCCCTTGTCTCCAGTTTCCTCCTTAAGCTACAAGGTAGATTTTTGCCTTTGTGGCTAATCCAAAGCAGGTTTGTGTTGCATGACCCAGAAGTATTAGGGTGTCTGGAGTTGCATGTGCACAGGGTTTTCTTTCCCGTGTTCTTCCTAGAGCTGCCTGTGCACTGTCAGGGTTTTCTTCCCTGGAGTGTTTGAGGGTCCGCTCCCTTAGAGGGTTTCCTTGCTTGTAATGATCTTCGTTCCAGGTAATTTTTTTTTTTTTTTTTTTTTTGCTTTCCATCTTCCCTGGAATTGGGAGTGAATTTTGGCTGACAGGGCACACTACAGTTCACATGACCTAATCACTGCATGCAGAGGTAGTCCTTCTCAGCCTCTGGTGAGCTGGAATGGTATACTTTTACCCGTTCAAGTTCCCATCCAACTATTCCCTTTGTCTTTCGATACAAGAGAGAGACAAATGCAAGAGAAATACAAGAGACAAATACAAGAGACAAATACAAGAGGCAAATACAGTGTTTGCAGCCCTAACAGAAACCCACACAAAGGACTACCATGATGGTGAAATATGGATCTCAGAGTACAATCTTTTCAGATGTGAGAGGAAACACCGGCTTCAGGGTGGGGTCAGCCTCTACATCAAAGACACACTCATCTGTACTGAGTTGCTAAACACCTCAAATGATATGGTGGAAGTGCTGATAATCAAAATAGAGATTTTAAATGTAGTTATTGTCCTTGTATATAAGTCACCGGAGGCAAACCCTCAGCAGTTTAAAGACCAACTAATGAAAATAGAACACTGCTTGGAAAACCTCACAAATCCAGCTCCGAACATCATCCTGCTTGGGGACTTCAACCTACGGCACCTGAAATGGAAGCACCTGGCTAATACAGTAATATCAGAAAGAATACCAGGAAGTAGCCTAAATGAACAGGCACGTGCAAATAACCTGCTACGGATGTGCGACAGGTTTGCCTTAAACCAGGAAATAGTAGAACCAACTAGGAAGGAGAACACGCTAGACCTCATTTTCACTAATAATAATAAATTGATCAGGAACATAATGATTACAAATACCTGTTACTCAGATCACAACTTAATTGAAGTTATGACAATCATGGGGAATAGACCTTCAAAACCAGTCCAGATTCCCGGTGGAGGAGATTTCAGCAAATTAAACTTCAATAATAAACAGATAAACTGGGAGCAAATAAACCAGGACTTCACAGTAATAAACTGGGAAGAACAGCTAGAAAATGCAAACCTGAACCAGTGCCTGGAAAAAATAAGCTCAGTAGCACTAGAAATATGTTCAAACCGCATACCTCTAAGAAAAAAGAGGAAGAGATGCAAATTGGAAGGGGAACGTTGTTCCCTATATAGGCGAAGAAAACGAATTGCGGAACAACTTGAGAGTCGCACCCTATCTCAAGAACGGCGAAGAAGGTTAGATAGAGAAATAGAAACAATTGAACGGAAGCTACAAGAATCATACAAAACCCAGGAGAGGCAAAGAGAGCAAAAGGCCATCAGTGAAATAGAGAGAAATCCGAAATATTTTTTCTCCTATGCAAAATCAAGATCAAAAACCACATCTAGTATCGGGCCCCTGCGAAAGGGAGATGGAACTTTCACCGATGACAACAAAGAAATGAGCGAGCTACTGAGGAAGCAGTACGACTGTTTTCAGTGAGCCATTAAACACACTAAAGATTGATAACCCAAATGAATTTTTCATAGATACGATACCAACATCAAATCATATATCAGACGTCACCCTATCCCCACTGGATTTTGAAGAAGCCATAAACAGTATGCCTATGCACTCTGCACCAGGCCCGGATTCTTGGAACTCCATATTCATAAAGAACTGTAAAAAACCACTATCGCAGGCCCTCCACATTCTGTGGAGACAAAGCCTAGATACTGGCATTATTCCTGATATACTAAAAACAGCAGAGATAGCACCACTTCATAAAGGAGGAAATAAGGCAGAGGCAAAAAATTACAGACCGATAGCACTAACATCGCACATCATAAAAATTTTTGAGAGAGTGCTAAGAAGTAAGATCACAAAATACATGGAATCACAGCATCTCCATAACCCCGGACAACATGGTTTCAGAACAGGGCACTCTTGCCTGTCGCAGTTGCTGGACCACTATGATATGGCATTAGATGCTATGGAAGACAAAACGCTGATGTAATTTACACAGATTTCGCAAAAGCTTTTGATAAATGTGACCATGGTGTTATTGCACATAAAATGCGTTCAAAAGGAATTACCAGAAAAATAGGCAGATGGATCTACAATTTCCTGACCAACAGAACCCAATGTGTAATAGTCAACAAAATAAAATCCAGCCCATCAACCGTGAAGAGCTCAGTCCCCCAGGGTACTGTGCTTGCTCCAGTACTTTTTCTCATCCTCATATCGGACATAGACAAGAACACAACCTATAGCACTGTATCATCCTTTGCAGATGACACTAGGATCTTCACGAGAGTAGACAACAGAGGACACGGCGAACCTCCAGTCAGATGTAGATCAGGTCTTTCTATGGGCTACAGAAAATAATATGGTGTTTAACGAAGACAAGTTCCAGCTCATGCGCTATGAAAAAAATGAAAATATAAAAACGGAAACCACGTACAAAACTCAGGCAAATCATAACATAGAACGAAAAGGCAATGTAAAGGATCTGGGTGTAGTCATGTCGGAAGACCTTACCTTTAAAGAACACAATAAAGTAGCCGTCACAACTGCAAGAAAAATGACAGGTTGGATAACAAGAACTTTTCACACTAGAGATACTATACCGATGATGATACTTTTCAAAACGCTTGTGCTCTCTAGAGTGGAGTACTGCTGCACAATGACAGCACCTTTCAAAGCTGGAGAAATTGCTGACCTGGAGAGCGTGCAGAGATCCTTTACTGCTAGAATCCACTCAGTAAAACATCTAAACTATTGGGACCGACTAAAGAGCCTAAAACTGTACTCCCTTGAGCGCAGGCGGGAGAGGTACATAATAATTTACACGTGGAAATTAAAAAAAAACATAATATTACATGACATAATTTACATGTAGAGTGCTCATACACCACCGCTCCCTGTGCCTATCTGAGGGGACCAGGTTCTGGCTTGTGGTCCCCGGTAAGCTCAGAACTCCATGTGACTGATGACCCCAAACTAATAAAGCACCTATCAGTTCAATTAGCTTCAGGGGAACCTCCAGGGCTACCCCTAGAAAATTATGTATTCAGTAGCTTAAAGACTTAAAACAAGTAAAATAAATGAATTTCAAACTTCACCTGGTTCCTTTTTTTGTTATGCAAGTTCGGGGCATAACCAATAGAACCAACAATCTTCATGCTTTGAATAATTGCTGCATCAACAGGTGGTGTTGGCCTGAGGAGAAAAAATGTGTTCAGCCAGTTATCACAACAAAAGCTAAAAAAATTGTAGTAAAATTAAAAAAAATACAGTACTGTATGCAAAAAAATCCACAAAGAAAAGGTTAAAGTGAGCGAGTCTGGTGATGACAACGGCCTTGATCGGCCGAAACGTTCGTCTCCCTTTTCCATTTCCCTGTGGATTTTCCGCATACAGATCAGAGTTTTGTGATCGTCAATTGCAACAGTACTGTATATTCTATTCTTTGTAAAAAAAACTTACAATAAAATGTACAAGTATTTGATATATAATACAAATTTGGCATCATCTTAGCTGTATCTTAGCTAAGATAGAAGAAGCATCTTCTATCTTAAAAAAGATAGAAGATGCAGAGGATTGTGATGACCTTCAAAACAGTCTAGATAAAAGAATTGCTTGGAGTGTCAAGTGGCAAATGGAATTCAATGTGAATAAATACCATGTTATGGAATGTGAAAATGGAGAAAATAGACCACACACACAACTTACAGATTATGTGGAAAGGAATTACAGAAATTTAATAAAGAACGAGACCTAGAGGTTGTTTAACTACTGCACTGCGCAAAGCACCTTTAGGCGCTCTGAGAGTTGTGCTAGTTTTTTAAACCCTTGTGTTGCTAAGGGCTATTTGGCCATTGTCACCCACAGTCTCTTAACAAAAAAAAAATTCTTCTAAACCTGTTAGTGTTCCTTGATCATGGAAAAAATAATAATAAAATCGTAAGTGGCATATTTTGCCCACTATAGAGCGAGGAAGTCTGGCAAAAAAGAAGCGCTGACTCAGCGTGCGTCCGAGGTGGTCTGCTCAGCCCTAGCTGTCAGGCAGGAGTGACCACAAAGAGATAATTACCTAATTATTTCAATGACCGATTGATTTTCCTTTTTTTTTTTTTTTTGCTGTAATATTATTCAATAGTGTGTGTAGTATGATATATTTTTAAAATAAAATGTGTGAATCATCGCTGTACTCAAAATTATGGTGTGCATATTATTGATTCAATTATTGTGTTCATAAAACAAACAAATTCTTTGTCAGTTATTACACTATATACACAGGTTATGTATACGTATCTGCATGTTTTGTTGATGTGAACTGCCAGTGCACTGCCACTAAGTTGGTATTGCAAGTCAAAAAGCAGGGAGGTGTGGCCACCACATCTGCCAGTCAGCCTCTCACCACCACTCCCTCAGTGACTCCTCACTCGCCCACATCCTCCTCCCACCATACTGTTCTTGCTTTTATTCACTATATACAGATGTTATATATAAGTATCTACATGTTCTATTCACCATAACTGTTCATCTAAGCTGGTATAGTGCCCAAACAGCATAGTGGCCACCCCTACCCAACATGATAAATCATGCAGATGTTGCCACCTCCCTCACCAAAATGGCTTCTACCCCACACTCCTTTTGCTGTTATTACACTATATACACGGTATATATAAGTATTTACATTTGTGTTCACTATTACAAACTACTAAGTTGGTATGCTGAGTGGCAGTCGCAGCCAGTGGCAGCCTGTCACTTGCTGTCACTCCCTCCCGCCCTCACCTCACCTGACTCGCCACCATTCTCCTCCCACCATACTGTTTTTGCTTTTATTCACTATATACAGACATTATATACAAGTATCTGCATGTTTTGTTCACCATAGCGAACAACTAAGCTGGTATAATGAGTCCAGACAGTAAAAGGTGGTCACACAGAGTCAGTAAGACAATGCTACCCCTCTCCCCACCAAGATTACTCCTCCCACTTCAGCGCTAATTATCACAACAATCCTACTATTATCAGAATCCTGGTAAATTTTACCACAGTCAGGGGTCTTCTGTAATAATATCATCACTAAATAATAGCACATACATATATATTATGGCATTTTTTGACGATGCTGTGGTCACAAGCTGAACAGCAGTGATGTGAGCTCATGCTACGTGTGCCAGCCTTGGTGGCTCACTCAGTACTGTGGACCTCACACCTGGGAATGTGGCCCACGATTTAAAAAAAAAAATGGCGTCTGTTTACAAGTCCTGATGAATGTGAGCTGAACCCCGTGTATCTGCGGGCCGTATAAATCTTGCATAGTACTTGCGCAATTTATAGCAAGTTACTCAACACTTCATATGACGTGTTGCGCAGTTTAAGGGTTAATTAGGCTATATTTTAATGTTTTTAAATGTTTTCATTACTCTTTGTGTTTTGAAATTGAAATAGTCGAGTTTGAAAACATTTTGACATTAACTTTACCCGACCATTTGTAAAAATAACAAAAATATGTCCTTGACAATTGCACTAAAAAGCTTTTGCCAAAACCAGGTGCGCAGTGCAGTGGTTAAGATAGTAAACCGTCGCTGGAGGAACACAAAGAACATTGTGAGGGGAGCGCTAGGAGAGCAATAAACAATTTTATCACTGAAGCAGTGCAAGAGATTACATTTGGAAACTGCATAATAAAAGTTGGCAATGTATTAAATCCACTAAGCTTAAAAATTTAAGATGAAAATATAAAATACTATACTATTTGCAATAAAACAAACATTCACAAAATATTGGCACACACAAATAAGCATTCAAAAGTATTAAATCCAACTTAAGAAATCCTAACATTATTTATCAAGCATTAATCAATTCACCATAACCATTTAAATGACCAGTAAATTTCATGCAATTAAGTAAGTAATTATCAAAGAAGGTACCAAGCCATTAAGGCTATGTAGATTCATGCAATTAAAAAAATACAAATAATAGAACAGTACCTGTAGTGAACCTTCATATACTGCTCTGGCCAATCAGATAATAATGCACTGGTCGGATAATACATGGGCAAAGATGCTAATGAAGTCGTTTTATCAGTCAGTGGCAATGTCTGAGTTTGTTCAGGCAAGTCTGGCATGATAGATTCCTAATAAAAATTATATAATTAACATTATGAAATTATTTAAAATAAATTGAGCAATAATAATCATGAAATGCACTGAATTCTTAAATGGTAAAGTTCACAAAAATCCATATACTGTGCAGTACTTATTTTATCATTGAAACAAATGTTTGATATAAAATTAATTAGCAATGTCACAAAGCTTCTATCTCAAAATTAATACTACAGCATATATTCAAGAAAAAATCCAGCATAGACTGTAATGAAATGCTTCTTTCAGGTGCAACCCCAGTGGCTATCAGAAGCTATCTTGATGAAATGCCCATCCTTAAGGGTCATATCAATTGCAGGAGTTCTGTTTGGCCTCGGGAGCAGGGATCAGAGGCAGAACGTTGCCTTGCCTTCCCCCCTTACAGTGTTGCAGAAAGCAAGTGACAATTCATCACACTAGAAAAGCACCTAGAAAGTCAGTGAAGCTTTACAGACAACTGGAGGGGTACACAAAAAACAAAACCTCAAAATGGCCAACAACCCAAACACAACGTATTCACTAAAAACTACCTTCAACTCTTTAATACCACTAGCCACCACTAGGCACCCTAGCCCCAGCCCACAGCCAGGTCCTGTGACCAGCAAGTTCTGGAGTTGATAAAACAGCCCACCAATAAACTTGGAGGCAGGAGGAAAGGGTGGAAATCAGAGCTGCCAGGGTTCTCCTAGAAAGAGGCATTTCATAACACCTAATGCTGGGTTTCTGAAGACTTCCCCCTTGGTAGCTTCCTCAAGCTAATACCAAGAACAAAAACCCAGTATTGAATGTGATGAAAGGCCAATTTCTAGGTGAGCCCCAGTGGCTTCCTAAAGCTATACTCTGAGATGGTACCATCTACTAGGTCATATCAGCCATGGAGTTCTATCAGCCATTTGTTTTTGCCACCTCACCAGAGAAGGCAACTAGAAAAATCAGCAAGTCAAAGACTGGACAAGACTGGCAGTGCACTGATGACTGCCAGGCACAAACATCAGTCAATAACTGACCAGTGACAGCCCAGCTTCCCCCTCCCCCAATAAAGGGGTAGGTGTAACTAGCTTACAGGGGGCTGGTTTGACGAGGTTTTGGTTGGTTGTTTTCTTGTTGGGAGAGTTCTTTTGATATTGTTAGGGTATTGGTCTTATTTTTCAACCCTACAGTAGTCTGTTTTGATTTGCCTGCCTTTCTGGGTGCTTCCCTGGTTGATGGCAAGATGATGAACTTAAAATGTAAAGTGTTCATGAGCCAATGCTTGCTGCGCATCTCTGAGGGAGCCAGGTTCTGCCTCCAACCCGTTCTCGCAAATTTAATAAGTCAATTGACTTATTAAATATGTGCATAGGTGACATACTTAACATAATAGATACCCTTAAAAAGATTCATAGAAAACACCGACCTTACCTAACCTTGTTAGTATCTTAAGATAAGCATCTTATTTCTTCGTAATTACAATTATTACCTAACCTATAATAGGTATAGGTTAAGTAATAATTGTAATTACGAAACAATAAGATGCTTATCTTAAGATACTAACAAGGTTAGGTAAGGTCGGTGTTTTCTATGAATCTTTTTAAGGGTATCTATTATATTTAGTATATCACCTATGCACGTAGTTAATAAGTCAATATTGACTTTACGAATTTGCGAGAACGGGTCTGCCTCATTGTTCCCAGTAGGCAACAAGAACTCTCTGACTGATGACAAAGAAGTATGGCACTTAATCAGTAAGCCAGCTTCTGGGAGCCAACAAAGCTCCCAGAAAAAACCAGTGTTGAATGTAATGAAATTCCAATTTCTTGGCGAGCCCCAGTGCCTTCTTGAAGCTACTACCTTTGATAGTGTATCATACTAGAAAGTTCTATCAGTCATAGGGATGAAAATGCCTACCAGGGACCAGAGCCAGAATCTGGCCCGCCCTCACAGAGGCACAGAGAGTGGTGGTATTTATGTATTAAATTATCCATGACTGGCACTCACCTCGCATGGCACCCAGAAAGTCAAACGGCTCCTGGCTTCAAACAAGACCGCAGCCTCAAGAACCGCAGAAAGAACTCCCAAACCATATAAACAAATAATTGAAGTCATGAAACTAGCACCAGTTCCTTTGCCCCACCTTCCCCACTCATTTCGGGGGAAAGAGGGAGGCAGACCACAGTCGGCCAGTTACCCTCAGTTCAGCAATGCACGATTCGCTAAGCAAGGATCCACCGCATCTGCCCCACTTATTAAACTATTCTACATTAAGAAGAAAAAGAAGAAAAAACAGAAGTAAGTCTCAAAATACATTATTAATAGAAACAAGATACCTGCCAACACCCACCAGAAGATAGAGTTGACAATCTGCTACATGTGCAAGAAGACTGCCAACTTGCTCATGATGAACTTTTCCGACACCAAGTGAAGTCTCTTGACAGACAATTATCATCTATGCCTTCACATGCCCACTTGGGGATTGTCAGCTCTAATGATCTCAATTCATAGAGAAGACAATAACATCTCTTTTTAAGGCACCTCAAAACAAACAAACACGGCCAATCAAAGAACTTCAAATTTTTACACACACACACACACACACACACACTGATCGTCACTCAAGTTATCCTGATCAACAGCACTGAAATAATCAACAGCTGCAATGACAATAGAAGATTAGCCATCGGCAAAGCACTTCATAACAATCTCTGCCAATTATTAACAGCCAGCTCACACTTGGTAACATTCAGTCATCTGGCAGCATATCCAGTACATTGCTCTATCCATCATAAGAATATAGGAAGAAAGCTGCAGGCCTATTGGCCCATGGATATTTTACTTCGCCTCATCCTCCCTGGTTATATATTACTTTGCTCAAATTAACTTACTTACATTTTGCCTTTGTTGCAGTCATAGGTACAGATAAAAGAAAGTCCCCTGCAAGGGAGGCCATCTAAATATATACAAAACTTTCATCATATAAATGCCCTCTAGAGCATCTCATTACAATGAATCTCCAGCTGCAATGAATTGCACCTGTTCCCATATAGTTTACTGAATTAAAGGTGCACTGTACTTTTTAACAAGTAATTTAGAACATATTTAACAATCCTATTTTTTTTTTTACCTTCAGTTAATTATGGGGCCGAGGTCTTTAAAATTCAACACATTTTAACCAAAAATAAAAAATAAAAAAATCTGTAAAAATCTTGTAGCTTCTGGCATAACTATTGTGAAAATCACGTCTCTTATATTAAATAATTTTTTTTAGAAATAAAAAACTAACCCGCCCCACCGCAAGTGTCAGCAAGTGTTGTCTCGTCATCGCATTCGTTCCTGATTGTGTTCTAACAATCCAACAATGACCAGTATGTCTGGTCAACAGACTTTAGCCACGTTATTGTGACTCATCGCCTGGTTATTTTTTCTGATAAAAATCTTTATATAAACTACTTATTTTATGCAAGAGAAAAACTTTATATAAAATAATACTTTTGGTCGTTGGTAACCATGACGTCGCCTGAGGCGAGAGAGGAAGGTATATGTGAGGTACTTTCAGTCAACACACGTTCATAGAGGGAGGTGGCATGGCATGGTAGTGCATCATTTCATTGTCTCACGCTGTTCCTGTGCTGTTTTAATGCTACTATTTGTTACTGCCATTATCACGATGAAGCACAAAACAAAATAACAGAAAAAGGATGAGGGAAATGGCACTACATGCCGTGAGAATCTCGCTGCCTCCTCAAGCCAATGCCACACACCCTAACCTCCTCCTTCTACCCACTCCTCACACACGTCTGTGCTGTTAGGGCACCGCCAGGCACTCTCCTGACAGATGGGTAGGAGTATATATCAACTACTGTATATATAATGTTAATTATATATATTATGTTAATTATATATATATTAATTATATATTATTATGTTAATTATATATATATGTTAATTATATATATGTAGTCAAATATATTATATATATATATATATATACTGTATATATATATATATGTATGTATGTAGTCAACTATATATATAATGCTAGTATATATCAACTATATATAATGAATAAAGTGCCTGAAATTTGTTTTGTAAACCTTAGCACCCAAATATTACTGCATACCATACAAACAAAAGATGGCATCAAAACACAGATTTTGATCAAAACTTACCATGTATCAAATTTTGGAACAAAACATGATACATCAGTGCCAATAAAGTCAATGTATTGAAATTAATTATAAAACATTTTTTTATAATTAATATTTATGTAGATATGTATTTTATACATGTAAATGTGAAATTCACATTCTTTTAATAATTTTTTTACATCTCAATCCAAAAAAACTTTAATACAAAATACTTTTTAATAAAATATATATTTTTAATAAATATTCTTTTTAATACAAAAATATCACACAAACCATGAAATTTGTTATACTGTACAAATAAAAGTTCACAATTATCATAAACAGTATCTGGAAATTATATTTTAAACTGAATTCTTAGTAATAATTTGGTTTTAAACTTACCTGAGAGAAATTATTGAATGAAGGTTTACTTCCGGATGTGAAGAGATGTAACGATCCTAAACTATCTCCAAACACAATGGCTTGCGATGAAGATGCAACATCAAACGTTGTAATTCCACTCTCGGGAACACAGTTGATCTGAAAACAGTACAGTACAGACATTTGTTCATATTTGTTGAATGTGAAAATCAACAACTGTATACTGCAGTGTATCAAGTTTGTTTCCTGTTTTTTCAGGAAACAATTTAATCATTTCTTTATTAAATTAAAATTAGAACTTAAAAGTTTAACCCTTAGGCTGCTAAACACATACATAGGTGATGGGAGTAACGTGTACCGCCATGCACTCATCATACATAGGCAATGTAGGGTGCCGTGTACATTTTAAATCTACACGGGGTTCACATCAGCTTCCTCAGGGCTTTTGTAAACAGAGGTTATTTAAAAAAAAAATCATGGGCAACATTCTCGGGTGTGAGAGCCTCAGTACTGAGTGAGCCACCAAGACTGGTGCTAGCAAGCATGAGCTAACAGCACTGCTGTTCAGCTTGTGACCACAGCATCGCCTAAAAATGAGAAAATACACACGTAACCGATATTATTTAGCGATGATAATACAGTATTACAGGATACCCCCTGACTGTGATAAAAATTACCAGGATTCTGATAATAGCAGGATTGTTGTGATAATTAGCACCGTACTAGTATGGTGGGAGGAGTAATGCTGAGGCACCTGAAAAAAAAAAAGACGGAGCCCCAAGGGAAAGGCCTCAAAACAGGGATTTGGCTGGAAAGACTCAGAATTCTTGGTGAAAGGAGTGGTAGAACTGTCTCCATGCCTGCATCAGAAAGCGACTGCTGCTTGATACCTCAGAATATTAATCGAGAAATGGGCGATTTGGATTACATGAGGAACTAATCCCACACGACTCATGATCATAGGTGTAACCAACCCAACAAGTAGCACAGCAGATGCAAACGTATGATCGTCACTCTTGAGGCACAGGCGATGAACAACCCTCAAATTCACACAAGGCGAAAGTGGGCCCTGAAGAGGTATCTATTGTACAACCGAGCCCATGGATTTTTCCCAGAGCCTGATGGGTGAATGATCCCTACAGGAAGCCCAGGCACTGGAGCCAGGCACTAGGAAAGCCCAGGGGGTAGCAAGGAAGGTCCACTGCACACACCCTAGGCATGCCTAATAAGGCAAAGGGCAAAACCCCCAAGCTGAAAGCAAGTGAACAAAGTGCTAGCGAACAAGAAATGAAGATTCAAAACCCCCTAGACCCAACTGTGGCAATCAAGCAGCCTGGAAGAAACACCAGCATGCCGTTCACCTGTTGAAGAGCAGGTAGCACCAGCCACAGTGTGCCCCAACAAACAAACCCCCCCCCCCTAACCCAGGGCAAGATGGAACGCCCAAGGCCCCCAGCTTATCCCTCATTGGCAAGGACCACCTCAAGCAAAGAAGCCAGCTGCTTGCAGTGTTTCCTGAACGCCCCAAGAAAGATAACTGAGCGCACAGCACACCAACTCCTGGCTTACGCACACTTGTGTAGGAACAGCCTAAAAAGGCAAAACCCCCAAAACAGGAGATGAAGCCAGAGCGCACCGATGATCGCCAGCCACGAACATCAGTCAAGAACTGACCGGTGGTAACCCAGCTGACCTGGTCCAGTTCCCCCTCCCTTCAACGAGGGAAAAGGTGGAGCTAACTGGAAGCAGGCTGGTTTGACTAAGTTTTGGTGGTATGTTTTCTTATTGGGAGAGTTCTTTTGACTTTTGAGGGCATTGGTCTCATTTTTCAACCAATTAGCAGTCTGGTTTGATTCGCCTAACTTTCTGGGTGCTTTCCTGGTCAATGGCAAGTTGATAAACTTTACATTTAAAGTGTTCACAAGCTATTGCTCGCTGCGCCTCTGTGAGGGGAGCCGAGTTCTGGCTCATGGTCCTCAGTAGGCAACAAGAACTCTGACTGATGACTCCAAGTAGTATGGCACTTAATCAGCGAGTGTCGGCTCCCTGGAGGAGAGCCAACAGGGCTCCCCACAGAAAATGTAGACATGGAAAAGTAGAAAATGTTCATAGAAAAGATATGTAAAACCAAAAACAAATAATTGTGTGGGAATCCTGGAGTATGTATATACTGTATATATAAACATCCTATAAGTAACTAACCTGATAACTCATGCTCATAATAGCATTGTCTGGTTGCCCTGCATCCATCAGTTGCCATTGTCCAACTGGTGAAACAACAGCTAGACATGATGAAAGACCTGGAACAAATCTCAGTAGGAAGGGGGGAACCAGAGCACGCAAAGGTAAGGACAGCTTCATCATCCGAAGGTCAAACACCATAACAAACTGATCTCCTAGCAATTGGCCCATCCTGTAAAAAAAAAAAAAAAAGTTGAATGTAATGAAACGCCATTTTCTGGCCGAGTCCTGGAAGCTCCCCAGAGCTATCCAGGCTGATATGAATATCCCTAACTTTGGCACCATTTGATGTGGGTGGAATTCTAGGTCTACCAGGTACCACGAGCCAGAACCTGGCCCCCTCAGAGAGGAACGAGGAGCAATGGTCAATAAAAATGCACACGTGATTTGGAGCATTCTATATCTGCCATCAACCGGAACAGGCAGCCAGAAAGGTAAGCGCCCCAAAACAAACACCTATTCTGGTTAAAAAAAAAAAAAAAAAAAAAAAAAATAGACAAACGAGTGGACAGAACTCCCCAATGAAAACGAGCAAACGAGCATGATGTTACACGAGCAGCGCTGTATGTCTGCACAACTCCCCCCTCCCTAGGGGGGAGTTGTGCAGATAGACAGAGGGTTGCCGGGAAGCCTCCGGGACTCGCCCAGAAAATGGCGTTTCATTACATTCAACGCTGGTTTTCTGGGGGAAGCCCCTTCGGCTTGAAAGGGGCTCCCCCCAGAAAGGGAAAGAACGGAAACCGGATCAACCCAAAGCACATCCCCGAACACAGAAGACGTGGCGCACAAATAATGGCAGAGGGCCACAACCAGACACGACACATATAATGCACCCCCAGCCTCAACAACCCAAGGGCCCTTCCGGAAGGCAGCAGTCTCATTCTTCGCTAGAAAAGAAGGAGACGGCTGCAGATGAAAAACCTATCACCACGACCGAAAGAGCAGAAACCCCTGTGCCGGAGGTGAGCATGAAGCTCCCCGACCCGACCTCCAGAAGCCAGTGCCAACAGAAAAGAGCCTTAGAAAAACAATCCTGAACCAAAAGGGCCACAACAAACCGAGGAGAAGAGAAATAGGAGAGTACTCTGTCCAAAGACCAGGATGGCTCAGGCAGCGCATAAGCAGGCCGGAGGTGAAACAATGCACGAGACAGCTTGCAAAATGCCACAGAAGCAACATCTATACCGAAAGCAAGCTGCAGCGGCTCCGCCAGCGCAGCACGATACGAGGTGATAGTATTCGGCATAAGATGACGGTCCTAGAACAACCACGAGAGAAATGACAACACCACCCGAACAGAAAGCAAAGTACAGTACAAAGACGAAGAGTCAAAAAAGAAATAGAAGGACCGCCAGGAAACTTCACACTGCCGCCGAGACGAAGCCCGCAGGTAGGACACCATCAAGGAAGCTATCTGATCACCATACAGATGGTGATAAACTCGGTCAAAAATGCCAAACACGAAGACTTGAGAAGAGGAACGAACCAGTCTCGTAACAAACCGGGCCAATCTGCCGAAAGAAGCGGGGCCGCGGAACAACCTCTGAGTTCAGACATGCAAGCAGCGCCTGAAACCATGGGGCCAAGAGGACTACTCACCCCTGGTAAGTCTCCAAGCGAGCCAGGACCTGGAGCAACAGCTGAACCGGGGAGAAGAGGTATAGGAACCCCCACCTCAAGCAGTCCTGCCAGAAGGCGTCGGGGAAGGGCGCCACATATACCTGGAAGACACCTCGACGCGAAGAGGTCCACCTCCGGTGCCCGAACGTCTGGCAGAGCCAACTGAATGAGTCGGCATCGACCGTCCATTCCATGGACAGGGGCAACGAACCGGGACAGGCTGTCTGCCAGGATGTTGGACACAACCTGAACCATGAACCACCAGGAGAGCCAAATCCCAAAAACTCAGCAGACGAGTCACCCGAAGCGACCAACCCTATAGAGCCAAGGACGGCATTGAACCCACCCCTCAGTTCAAGCAATGAACCACCGGGGAGCAGTCCGAATGGAGCCGGATCGTCGATCCATGGACGACCCGAACCCTCTGAAGCATTAAACCACAATGCCGCGAACTCTCGCACCATGCTGTGGGCCCAATGGAAGCCCCTGGCCAGCCAGGTGAGCATTGGTCACAAAGCTTCAGCCAAGAGACGATGCGTCCGTGAACACATGAAGCGAGGGCTCGGGTAGGCGCCAAGGCACTGAACCCAAAAAAACCCGTAGAGGAAGCCGGCGACGCAGCACCCGACGTAGGGCCCTTGGGGGTCGAACCGAGCGATCACAAGGGGTGGAAGGGACGTCCCCAAAGGAACCCGAACAGCCGATGAAGCCAAAGCCAACCCGGCGGGTAGACCATCATCACAAAGTTCAGGCTCCTGCACAGAGCAACTGCCGGGTGACCCGGGAGCCCCAGAAACAAGCGCATGCAGGACCGCAGCCGAAGGAGAGAGACTGGAGGAAGAGACAAGGAAGCGGTCAGAGAATCCCACACAAGATCCAGCCAGGGCCGAACCTGGGAGGAAACTAGACGAGACTTCCACCAGTTCACCAGGAACCCGAATCCAGCTAGCTGGGAAAGCACCAAACCCCTGGCGAGCAGACACGCGGCCCAACTGGGAGCCCAATCCAGCCAGTCGTCGAGGCAAGCCAACACCTGAACACCTAACAGACGCAGACGGGCCACCACAACTCAGGTAAGGTGTGTGAACACTCAAGGTGCCAGGTTCAACCCGAAAGGGAGACAACGAAAGCGGTAACTCTGAAACCCGAAAACAAAAAACCAGTCCCTGAACCCCGGATGACTCGAGACGTGCCAATGTGCGTCCTTGAGATCTAAGTTTCCCAGAGCCCCTAGACTGGGTCTGCCAAGGGGTAATCATAGGCAAGGTACTGCTAACTGGCACCCAAGCTACCAACCAACACTGGTAAAGCTGAACCCCCGGGACGTGTCCACTCACGAGGGTGAAGCAGGGGTAACCACCAAACAAGGAACATACCCAAGATAACCGGGGAAGGAAACACCAAGGAAGACCCCCCTCCCCCCCCCCCCATCATGCAAAAACAAAAAGAAAAGAAAAACCTCGTAAGAGGACAGCGTACCCAGAAGGAACAGAGCCGGTCGCTGTTATAGGTGACAACTAGCCCCGCATCCCTACCAGTGCAAAACTACCACTACTGTCTAAACTAAACTACTGTCTCTCCAAGGTAGACAAGGGTGGAAACCCCCAAAACGCTCAAGGCAGTCAATAGTCAAGCAGCAAAAGACCAACAGAGGTAGACCCAAGGTGATTTGTAGAAGAGAACCCCCAAGTCACTAGGGCAGTACTTACAGGGCACTAAGGGAAGGTGACTAAGCACATGCAGCCTGAGTACCTTGGAATAATACTCCCAGCTCACACGCCACCATAAGAGCAGTACTGAACCAAAGTACAGTACAGCACAGCACAAGAGTCTGGAGCTGGAGCCACACGATCATGCCATATCACATCAGCCAAAGAGCTAGGGTGTGGATCGCCGGCATGGGGGTCTGGGGCTCCCTTTTCCCCCTCCCGGGAAGTGGGGAGCTGCACAGATATGCAGTGCGGCTCGTGTGACGTCATGCTCGTTTACTCGTTTTCACTTGGGAGTTCTGTCCACTCGTTTGTCTATTTTCATTATTTTTAACCAGAATAAGGGTTTGTTTTGGGGCGCTTACCTTTCTGGGTGCCTGTACCAGATGGCAGATATAGAATGCTCCAAATCACATGAGCATTTTTATAGGCCACTGCCCCTCATGCCTCTGAGGGGTCCAGAAATCATAGATGAAATTGATGATTTCATCGATAGGTACGGTGATAGCAGGCGGCTTGATATCAGCGAGGCACTACAATCAAAAATTCAACATCAGCAATCAACAGCCAACTATATTCTACCTACTTCAAGACCCCGAACCAATATGGAAGCAGCTAGAGGAAGTATGGGCCAATAGACCTTCTGCAGTTACTTCCATTCATATGTCCACTTATCCAATTTATACCCATTGTTTCGTGTACTGTCTTGTGTTTGTCACCTCACCCAAAACTTTTGTACCATATCACCTCATCCAATAGAGTACAAGCACGAAGAATGTGTGTGTAAATTAAGTCTTTGAAAATGTAATACGAATTACGAAACGCATTCAGGCGCAGACAATTAAAAAATTAATTTCGGAGAACTGTTATTTTTATTACCACCGACAGTGAAGAAAAACATAAGAAATATTAGAAAGAAACACACACACACACACACACACACACACACAACAAAATCATTAGAGAGAGGGGGAGTGAAAAATAAGAAGAGGGGGAACAAGTTCCTGAAGATTGCATACACCAACATAGATGGAGTAAGGTCGAAGATACTGGAGTTAAGTGATGTAATACAGCTGCAGACACCAGACATTGTTGCACTCACGGAGACAAAATTTGAAGATGTTATTTTAAATGAAGTCATATTCCCAAGGGGCTACTCAATTTGGAGACGGGACAGAAAAATTAGGAAAGGCAGTGGCGTTGCTGTGCTGGTGAAAGAAAACCTAAAGGTGAACGAAATAATGACTGCCAATCCACAAGAAGTTGACATAATAGCACTAGAGATCTGCCATGAGGATGATAAACTAATGATCATAAATGCATACAGTCCACCGCTAAGCAGCACATGGTCAAAGGAGGAGCTTAATAGTAAAAGAGAAGGTCTTATAACAATAATGAGAGAGATCATAGCGAGAGCGGATAACAATAGTTCACAACTGTTGATAGTCGGCGACTTCAATTTGAAAGCCATAGACTGTGAAGCATATGAAGCTAAAACAGAAGATTTCTGGACCTGTAAATTTGTAGACCTCATCCTGGAAACATTCTTGTATCAACATGTTAAACAAGCTACGAGGATGAGGGAAGGGGATGTTCCCTCCATGCTAGATTTGATATTTACGAGGAAGGAGGAAGAAATATTTGACATTCAGTACCTTCCTCCCATGGGTAAAAGTGACCATGTCTTTTTGGGAATAAAGTATGCAATGCGTTATAATCTGGAAGAAAATATGAAGGTTGATGCAATTGGAAAAACCTGACTTTAGGAGAGGACATTATGGCAACCTTAGAAATTTTTTTAGTGGGTATAATTGGACAGACTTGTTGCTAGGCAAGGAAGTGAATGAGATGTATATCAAGTTTTGTGAAATATATGATAAAAGGCACAAAAATATTTATACCAAAACAGAGATGCAGAACTAGGAAACAGGATTGGTTCAACAGAAAGTGCGAGAGGGCCAGAGACCAAAAGACACAAAAATGGAATCAATACAGGAAGAGGCCAAACCCCCAAACATACCAGCGATACAAAGATGCGAGAAACAACTACACGGCAGTGAGGAGAGAGGCAGAAAGAAATTTTGAAAATGGGATTGCAGACAAATGTAAAACAGAACCAGGTCTATTCTATAAATTCATAAACAACAAATTGCAGGTAAAGGATAATATTCAGAGGTTGAAAATGGGAAATAGATTCACGGAAAGTGAAAAGGAAATGTGTGAAACATTAAATGAAAAGTTCCAAAGTGTGTTTGTACAAAATGAAATCTTCAGGGAACCAGACAATAAGAATTCCAGAGAACAACAGAGCACACAGAGGTGTCTAGAGACGAAGTGGAAAAAATGCTCAAGGAGCTAAATAAGAACAAAGCAGTTGGTCCAGATGGAGTTTCACCATGGGTTCTGAGAGAATGTGCACCTGAGTTCGGCATTCCACTTCAACTGATTTTTCAGGCATCCCTGTTTACAGGAGTTGTAGCTGATGTGTGGAAAAAGGCTAACATAGTTCCAATCTACAAAAGTGGAAGCAGGGAAGACCCCCTTAATTATAGACCTGTATCATTGACAAGTGTAATAGTCAAAATATTGGAAAAAATAATTAAAACTAAATGGGTAGAACACCTGGAGAGAAATGATATAATATCAGACAGACAGTATGGTTTTTGATCTGGAAGATCCTGTGTATCGAATTTACTCAGTTTCTATGATCGAGCAACAGAGATATTACAGGAAAGAGATGGTTGGGTTGACTGCATCTATCTGGACCTAAAAAAGGCTTTCGACAGAGTTCCACATAAGAGGTTGTTCTGAAAACTGGAAAATATTGGAGGGGTGACAGGTAAGCTTCTAACATGGATGAAAAATTTTCTGACTGATAGAAAAATGAGGGCAGTGATCAGAGGCAATGTATCGGACTGGAGAAATGTCACAAGTGGAGTACCACGGGGTTCAGTTCTTGCACCAGTGATGTTTATTGTCTACATAAATAATCTACCAGTTGGTATACAGAATTATATGAACATGTTTGCTGATGATGCTAAGATAATAGGAAGGATAAGAAACTTAGATGATTGTCATGCGCTTCAAGATGACCTGGACAAAATAAGTATATGGAGCACCACTTGGCAAATGGAATTTAATGTTAATAAATGCCATGTTATGGAATGTGGAATAGGAGAACATAGACCCCACACAACCTATATATATTATGTGAGAAATCTTTAAAGAATTTTGATAAAGCAAGAGATCTAGATCCGAGAGATCCGAGTGCCCAAATGAGCCACAGAGATATTAAAAAGAACTTTTTTAGTGTCAGAGTGGTTGACAAATGGAATGCATTAGGAAGTGATGTGATGGAGGCTGACTCCATACACAGTCTCAAGTATAGATATGATAGAGCCCAATAGGCTCAGGAATCAGTACACCTGTTGATTGACGGTTGAGAGGCAGGACCTAAGAGCCAGAGCTCAACCCTCGCAAACACAACTAGGTGAGTACTAGGCGAGTATACACACACACACACACACTATTACAATATGCACAAGTGTACATGTTCTAAGCATACCTGTTTGAGAATCCACATGTAGCAATATAATTTCCCAGTACATCAAAATCTGAAAGGCTGCCAGTGTGGGCTTGGAAGGAGTGCTCCTGACGCATTGTTCGAGGATCATGAAGGACTATCCTTCCTGCGAGATCGCCATGACAAACAAATCTGGGATGATCACGTAAAATAACGCAACCTTGCTCCCCAACTTGGTGCTGTTTTAATAAAATACAGTATATCAATTTTAATACTAGCTGCTATACACTATATTTTTAATAATTAACTTCCTCTGCAAAATAGTTTAATAGGAACTTACAGCTTAAGCATACATAAACAGAAGCCAAAGAAAAACCAGAATTGAATGTAATTAAATGCCAATTTCTGGGTGAGCCCCAGTGGCTCCCTGAAGCTACTATCTTTGATAGTATGTCATACTACTGTACTAGGTTCCATCAGTCGCGGAGTTCTATGGCCTATTTGACACCAAGAGCCCGAACCTGGCCCCTTCACAACAGGCACAGAGAGCAGCGACATTAAGTTACCAGGTATTCATTTATGCCACCACCGAGGAAGGCACCCAGAAAGTCAGCCTAACAAGAGAAAAATCAACTGTTGGCTTCAAATGAGACTGCAGCCTCAAAAACCAGCTATAGAATCCCCAAATAATGTAAACAATACACATAGAAATCACAATAGTGTGATGCATCAAATGAACAAATCCACAAGGGCCGTGATGAGGGTTCGAACTTACGCCTGAGATAAGCCCAGGCAGGGTACTGCTAACCGGCGCCCAAGTCTACCAGACAAACTTTTATAACTGAACCCCCGGGACGTGTCCACTCATGGGGTATCATCAAACACAGGAGATCAAGACCTTAATATAACTGGGGGCCAAGGGACACCAAGGCACAACCCCCCCCCCCACACACCAGGCAGAAACAAAAAGAAAAGAAAAAATGCAAGAGGACAACGTACCCATGAGGAACAGAGTGGCCGCTGTTATAGGTGAAAACTAGCTACTAGCTATGCAGTACCCCACATCCCTACCAGTGCAAAAACTACCACTTACCCAAAGACAAACAAGGGAGGAAACCCCCCAAACACACTCGGGGTGATCAATCATTGAGCAGCAAAAGACCAACAGAGGTAGACCCCAAGGTGGCGTGGAAGATAACTCCAAGCCCCTAGGGCGGTACTTATAGGGCACCCGGGGAAGGGAACCCTAAGCACATGCAGCCCGAGTACCTGTGAATAATACTCCCAGCTCGCATGCCACTGTAAGAGCAGTATTGGATACAAGGCACAGTACAACACAGAGAATCTGGAGCTGGAGCCACACAATCGAGCCACAATCACATCAGCCGAGAACTGAAGGGTGGATCACTGGTGTGGTGGGTTTGGAGCTCCCCCAGCTGCCAAACATGTGGCACGGCTTGTGACATGCTCGTTTTCATTTGGGAGTTCTGTCCACTTGTTTGTCTATTTTTGTCGTTTTAACCAGAATAGCAGTTTGTTTTGCGCTTACCTTTCTGGGTGCCTGGCCCGGTCGGTGGCAGACACAGAATGGTTCAAATCCCATGTGCATTTCTATAGGCAACTGCTCCACGTGCCTCTCTGAGGGGGCCAGGTTCTGGATCGTGGCCCCCGGTAGGCCTAGAACTCTATTCACAGTGACTGATGCCAAAATATAATGATATACATATCAGCCTGGATATATCCGGGGAGCTGAAGGAGGCTCCCCCAGAAAAATGAGTTGGTTGGCTTCTGGAGGGGACCCTCTGGTTATGGACACTTGGTTGGTTTGGCTGGGGTGCATCATGTGCTGTTTCTGGTGGCAGCATTACGCTGCTGCCTTCTAGTCACCAGTTCCGCTTCAGTGGACTCGGTGGGTTGATCCAGTTTCCCTGGTCCCCTGTTCCAGGGCTCATGTTTCTCAGGTTATCTACGGTATCTTTAAATTGCCAGCCTTCGGTCTACCCTAGTGCCCATGATGTGCATAAGTATGATGCTCTTTTGGCAGTTTATGCCAATATTTCGTGGGCCGATATTTGGGCGAGGGAGGTTTTGGCAGTCGAACATGGTCTTGGCAGGCAGGTATCTCAGAGGCCTTGTGTGACATTGGATCACGTGCTGCGGACATTGGTCTCTTCTTCGTCTTGAAAAGAGGAACCTCTTACAAGGGAGGAGGAAGCACTCGCTGCTTTTCCAGTGAGAGTGTAATAATCCCCTGCTCTTTAGCTCTGTGAGGGGGAAGGAGGGCCCTAGTTTTGGCTCTGGCTTCTGGAAGACCAATAGAATTCTTAAGACTAATGGGACTGAATATGAGAAGCCAACAAATGACTGCAACAGAAAGGCACTGAAGATAAAGTATACAATCAAATGTGTTTCCATTCATACCCCTTTTTCCAAAAATCCATTGGCAAAATTTACTGGACATAATCTAAAGTTCAGTCTTTCATGTGATGGATATCTAACAGCAGAACCTGACATTATCTGGCATGCCCCCGTTTCTAAACTTCGTTCTCAAAAGTAGGGCAATGACTCTTGGTGAATGGAAACACATCAAACTGGAAATAAAAGTCAGCCATAGATTTTAAATAATGATTCAGATGGATAGATAGCCAAGTGATAGCAATTTATCATGATATATAATTTTAATTGAAAAGTTGACTTACACATCTGGTTTGCTCCAAGCAGTTGAGATCAAACTCTACCATAGAACTCTGATGGCCTCCCAACAGAAGTCGGTGGGAGAAGTTGCCTCCTAACTGGAGCATACATTGCATGTTCTCTAATTGTGGTGACCTGTTAAGAAAAAAAGTTTAGTTTGCTGAAAAACATTTTTGAAGACCACTCCTGCTTTCTTTCAAATGTTAATACCCAGTACAATGCCAACATTTCATCAACATACCAACTCACTACGAGAAGATAAAAAACTTAAGTTTTAACGTGGTATCTTGCTACAGTAGATAATCGTTACAAATGAAATATTCTTCACTTAATTTTTTTTGCACTATAATTTCATAAAATGAAACAAATAGTAATAAAAAATCACACTAGTTTAACTTAAAACCATGCTGAAATAGAAAATGTTTATCCGATAGATTTTCATAATCTAAAGACCTATATTAACCATGGCATTTTAACCATTTTCCTTCCTTAATGGTACTACCTTTCATCACTACATTATTTCCCAGAGAAAATAATGAGAAAATACGTAAAAAACAAAAAAAAAATTAACAGTATCGATGGCCGTGAACAACGCTCACGTCCACTTTTTTCTCCCGAGTCCTAGCCGTGGACAGCGCTCGCTTCCAATACAAAAATATTTGTAGAAATTTAATTTTTTATCCTATCAACTTCAGGATAGTTTCAAAATAAGCGCCCTTAGAGTGCGCACAATTTGATACCAAAGTGAAAGATGTAACACGAAACCTGATGTCAGAACATTTGAAAGATTATACATACGTTTTTGGTCAAAATTTTAAAATGTTAAAATTCTATTTATTGTGCTATTATTTTGGGACTAGTTTTAAAATGCGTGCCTTTACATTGCGAACAATTTGATACCAAATGAAAGATGCAACACAAAAATTTATGTCAGAACACTGGAAAGAGATAAATAATTTTGTGATGATGAGCGTACAAAATTAAAATATTTGTTAAAATTCCAGTTATTGCTCTATTACTATGGGATTAGTTTTAAAATACACGCCTTTATATTGCGAACAATTTGATACCAAAATGAATTTGTCATTACAAACAAATGTCATTACAGACAAATGTTAAAACGAAGAGAAAAACAAATGTCTCTTGACGAATTTGTAGTGAGACAAACAAGCACTGAACCACAACCAGGTCCTAGTGGTATTCAGGCAAAACGTAGGAGAGAGTACCCCAGAGAAAACATTACTGCCTGATGTGATAATGGAAGGGGACTCCCCTTCCAAACAGTAACAACTCTCCTCCTCCCCCCCTCATCACCATCTTCCATACGCCATCAAGAGCCCTCCATAAAGGTAAGAGAAACTTTGGTACTGTATTGTAGTTAGAAAAAACATTGAATTCAGTATAAAATGTATTTGTATGTTAATATTTTGGAGGGTGGGGAATGGATTAATTCAATTCCCTTTATTTCTTATGGGAAAAATCGCTTCGACTTACGATCCGTCTCTGGGAACGGATTAGCATCGTAAGTCGAGGCCCCATTGTACGTGGAAAATAATTGAGGGGGCTGGTCCCAAACCTGCACACAGAAATAACATCCCATGAAACCAGAAGGCATGGCAGGATGTGCAGAATACCCCTGTTGAAAAGCAGAGGTGCAACAGGTACTCTGAGAGAGAACTCTATCAACATCAGAGGCCCGAGACTGTTCAACATGCTTCCACTACACATAAGGGGCATAACTGGCCGACCCCTCACAGTGTTCAAGAGAGAACTTGACAAACACCTCCAAAGGATACCTGATCAACCAGGCTGTGACTCATACATCAGGCTGCGAGCAGACACATCCAACAGCCTGGTTGATCAGTGCAGCAACCAGGAGGCCTGGTCGATGACCGGGCCGCGGGGACACTAAGCCCCGGAAGCACCTCAAGGGAGGCAAGGTAACCCCATGCTGGGGTTATTTCACAGTTAAGTTAATTAGTATTAAGATATCGTGCTACTATCTAGGTGTGTGTATTATATTTATAAGTATTGGGTAGTACAAGCCAGTGTTTTGGGCATCCCTAAGTGTATTGTGTTGTGACTGGGATACCACGTGGGGCTTAGCTACCCCAGGCTGCTTCAATCCTTCGAGTTCTTTTCAAGTAGACTTTACCCTAGCTTTTCCCAAGTGTAAGCCTTGTATCCTGTCTATGTGGACCAAGGTAGTTAAAGTAAGATAGTGTGGTAAAGTAGTTATTGTTATTATAGTAATGTATATGGGGGGTTGTTAGAGGGTTAATATATAAGTTAGTTTTTGAGGTGTACCCATTAATCCTGTTGCAGTGGTGTAGATGATTGTATACTAGACAGCAGACCTGTAGTCTAAAACCTTGAAGCATTAACAGGAACCTATGTTCCTTGGGGGTCTGGCCTATCTTTTCCACTATTTTTGATACATCTTGATTCTAGCTATTGGTCCTTCTCATTAATACTCCATACTGCCCATAACAAGTAACTAATTCATAACAGTTCCTCATAATGACCTCTACTGAAATCAGGTTTTTCAACTGCTTCAACCTCATTTTCTTCTAGATTATAACACATTGCATACTTTATTCCCAAAAACACATGGTCACTATTACCCAAGGGAGGAAGGTACTGAATGTCAAATCTCTCTTCCTCTTTGCTGGTAAATATCAAATCCAGCATGGAGGGAACATCCCTTTCCTTCATCCTCGTAGCTTGTTTAACATGTTGAAACATGAATGTTTCCAGGATGAGGTTTACAAATCTACAAGTCCAAAAATCCTCTGTTCTAGCTTCATGTGAGTGAGCGAGCGGGGAGAGCACGCGCGAGCAAGCGGAGAGAGCGCGCGCGAGCGGGGGGAGAGAGCGCGCGCGAGCGGGGGGAGAGAGCGCGCGAGCGGGGAGAGAGCGCGCGAGCGGAGAGAATGCGCGTGCGTGCGGCTCTCTAAGATGAGGGCAGCCTTCACGTAACATCCAAGACATCTTCCCTAAGTTGTCTAACGCAAATGTTAATGTAAATTGTAATGTAATTAACAGCCATTTTCTATAGTTTGAAGTCATTTAGCAATTAGATAACACTACCCAGGGATCAAAAAATAAATTCAAATTTGTTACATAATGTAATGTACCAGCTCAAATATTACTTTTAGAAAATACACTTAAAAAATAGTACATTCCACTCACTGATGCGTGAAGGCAGGTAACCCTTGTCTGGTACGCATATTTAATGATGTTGGCGTTAGTGCAAGGATTCCTAGGTCAAAAGTCCAAATATCACGAATTTCCTCAGAAGCATGAACTTGGAATGATGTGTACTTCATGAGATCAGTGCTTAGGTATGATGTCACATGTCCCTGTTGGTAGAATTAATTTTTTTAATAGAGAGGATTCTCTTTCATACACTGTTGAATTATTTTATCCAGGACTCAAAGTGGATACCATCACACTGCACAGAGAGTCTTGAGGCACTAGATCAGGGGTGCGCAGAGCGCCTTAGGGCACTCATATGTACAGCTTAGCATTTAAAACTCCCACGGCTACACAAGGTTCACATCAGCTTCCTCAGGGCTCTCATAAACAGACGCCATTTTTTGTATTGTATGGTGTATGGTTTGGACACCATTGCAGCTTAGTTGTATAGTTATGGTGAATAAAACATGTAGATACTTATATACAGTGTAATGTGTGTAAATAGTGTAATAAAAACAATAATAGTATGGTGGGAGGGGGAATGTTAGCAAGTGGGTGTTGAAGGAGGCAGGAAGGTGGCATCTGCTAGCTGCTGTGTCGCGGCCACTCTCGTTGTTTTGACTCGCCATACCAACTTAGTTGTTCACTATGGTGAACACTTATGTAGATAGGTATATACGATGTGTGTGTGTATATAATGTAATAACAGCAAAAACTGATTGAGCGTAGAATATAATATACACATCACATATATGAGCCCCATAATTTTGAGCATAGCGATGTTCCACACACTGAACTACTGTATATAAATTCCACAAATTACACACTTTTGAATATTAAAAAAAAAAATATAATAATGAAGAAACGTCAAAATAATTGTGAAATATTATATTTGTGGCACCTGCCGCCCCACAGGGTGGCGGGGCCGACTGACCCCGAGCGCTCTATCACTCGGCACCCATAATTTGCTCAACTTCCCATCTCCATCATGGCTGAATTATATCGCATACAATTTTTTTTTTTTTTTTAGTTTCCCGTGATCAGACTGCATTTTAACACTACTGTATATGATAAAAATAATTTTTGGCAAAGAATTTATTTTCGGCATACAGCGGGAATGTCATATTTTAAGGCCGAACAGCATGGTGGTTAAATCTTTCCATTTAAAATCCTTCTCAAGGTAATATGAAAATGTGTAAATCTGAAAATAGTGCCTAACATGAGAGCTTCATGTTAGGCACTTATCAGTCTGCGCTCCACTACAGGAAGTAAAGCATCAGGAGAGCACAAGAAAACGATAACAAAATCTCCACACATGTACACAGACTTGCCATAAATAAAACAGTGTTGAATGTAATGAAATGTCATTTTCTAGGCAAGCCCTGGAGGCTCCCTGGAGATATAGGACTGAAATGAGCTTTATTAGTCTGGGGCTCCCATCATACAGAGTTGTCTGCCTACCGGGGACCACGACCCAGAAACTTGGTCTCCTCAGAGGCGAAGGGAGCAAGAGCCTATGAGAACTCCATTCTTTGAGAGTATATTCATGTCTGCCATCGACCGGGACTAGGCACCCTGAAAGGTTGGCGCCCCAAAACAGACCCCGAACTGGTAGAAAATTACAACTGGAGACTGAAACAAGAGGCTAGAAACTCCCATAGAAAAACAAGGAAACAAGCAAATCGTCATTAACCTGACGCGCCATTCGTTCGCACCCCACCCCCCCTCCCCAGAGTGGGAGGGGGAGACCCCCGCCCAACTGAGCCAGCCATCTGCCCACCAGTTTGAAGACTGAGCAAACAGAAGAAGAAACTGCCAACTGGAGGGAAGGAGGGGTGCCAGGAAGCCTCCAGGGCTCACCCAGAAAATTGCTTTCTGGGTGAGCCGGTTTTCTGAGAGGAGCCCCTGTCGGCTCCCTGAAGTAATACCAAAAGGTAAGAAATAAGAGGGACTTACCCGGAAGGTGGCAGCACCACATGACTCACGACGAAGACGGGACAACTGGCTGCAACCGACGGCCCAAGGCCACACAAGACTTCCGAGGGCCAGGAACGGTCACGAGATAACGCGCAGCCACGACCCTGTTCGACCTCCAAAACCCCCATGCCCGAATGTCAGCCCAAGACCTGTTCCCAAACACAGCAGCAAGAGCTGCAAACTTCCAAACACCAAGGGCACGAGGGTAGACCACAGGTTGGCAAAACTTAATAACAATGCGGATGACCTGAGAGACCCGAGCCCTGGAAATCGAGGGATATCTGATCAACCCAAAGCGCACCCCGGACACAGAAGCCAAGAAGCGCAGGGAATGGAGTAAAACCGCAACCGAACAAAAAACATGATGCACCTCCGGCCTGACCAACCAAGCATCAAAACCCATTAATCCCTCTGGAAACCTGACGTCTCATTCTTCGCCAGGAAAGAAGGGGACGGCCACAAGAGAGCAGAAACCCCCTGCCAGAGAGCATGAAGCTCCCCGACTTCCGACAGAAAAGTCGGAACCGAGGCAGAGCAAGTTTTTTCACAAATCATAAAAGCATATCACAGAGGAACGAAGAAAACAAGCCCCACTGCAAATATGGACGAAGTACGGTGAAAATCCGAAGATCAAGCCAGTCGAGCAGAGCAGGTAAAGACACCAGGTACAAAATAGCTGTCCACCAGAAAGGAAAACTAGTAACCCCAGTCTGGGAACACAAGACCAAGGGACAAGACCACCACCCAGAAGTCCCCAGGTAAAAAGACAGGGTAGGATGCAAGAAGATGGCAACCATAGGTAACAAGGAAGACAGAGTCTGGAGAACCTGCATAGCCACAAGCACAAAAAGTGGTGCAGGCAGGTCCAGAAATCAAGTCCAAAACCAGGGAACAACCCCTCCACCCCCACCAAAGCAAAAGCGGCGGTATGAATGTTGCAACAGAGCCCCGCCACCAGACACAAAATATGATGCACCCCTGGCTGAACCAACCAGGCATCAACAACCAATGGACTTCTCTGGAAGCCAGCCAACTCATTCTTTGCCAGAAAAGAAGGAGTCGGAAGGAGACTAACAAACTGACCCTCCCCCAAGACAAAGAACAAAAACCCCAACGCTGAAGGAGAGCATGAAGGGCAAAACCAGCGTTGAATGTAATGAAACGCCATTTTTTGGGCGAGCCCCTGGAGGCTCCCTGGAGCTTACCGGGCTGATAGGTATTTATTAAACCATAGCATCAGTCGATTCGAGTTCTTGCCTACCGGGTACCACAAGCCAGAACCTGGCCTCCTCAGAGAGGGACGAGGAACAATAGCCTATGGAAACCCCATATATTTGGAAGCATTGTCTGCCACTGACAGGGGGCTGGCACTCAAAAAGGTAGGTGTAACAAAACAAACCCAACATGGTAAACACTACTAACACCCCAATAGATACAAAACTCCCAAATTAAAACAATCAAACGTCACTAACGCTGTCATACCGATTGTCCACACAGCTCTCCGATGCTGGCCAGTACAGCTGCGAGTTCTGAGGCTGAGCATCAAAAACAATGCGAAAAAACTCCGTCCATATATGGAATAGGGGGGGGGGGGGGTCATCCGAAAAGAGGGGCAAAAGATCCAGGGGTTCAGATGGGACAAGTCCAGATTGAACCTTAGAACCTAAAATGCTCGTTTTGGTTTGGCAGTTTTGCCTATCTGTTGGGGTTTTTAGTAGTGTTTTTTATCATGAGGGGTTTATTTTGTTACACCTACCTTTCTGGGTTCCAGACCCCAGTCGATGGTAGACATGGAATGCTTCCAAATATATGGGGGCATTCCATAGACCATTGCTCTTCGTGCCTCTCTGAGGGGGGCCAAGTTCTGGCGCGTGGTCCCCGGTAGGCAAGAACTCTAATCGACTGATGTCACGGTTTAATACATGTACTGTATTGTACATACATATCAGCCCGGCAAGCTCCGGGAAGCCGTAGGGGTTCCCCACAGAGAAAAAAAAAATAGAAAATTGGATCCAGAACAATGTGACCACCAGGCATGAACATCATAGTAGAACTGAATTGTGAGTGGCCCAGCTGACCCAGGCCAGCTCCCCCCCCCCCCAGGAATGGGGAGGTGGGAGAAAACTAGCAGGGAGTTAGTTTTACAACATTTTGTTTTCATCGTGAGGGAGTCCTTTTGGGGCAATTTTGTGGCTGTGGTTTCATGTTAACCATGCAGTAGTCTGTTTTGATTTGCCTATCTTTCTGGGTGCCTTCCCTTGGATGGTGGCAAAGATGATAAACTTTAAATGTAAAATGATCATAGGCCATTGCAACCTGCCCTTTTTTGAGGAGGGCCAGGTTCTGACTCGTGGTCCCCGGTAAGCCAATAAAACTCTGCGACTGATGACACCTATTCAGTGCGATAGCTTCAGGGAGCCAACAGGGCTCCCCCCAGAAACTGGTAAATAGTATAAGCTGCATTGGAATGGATTAAAAAATAAAAAGGGTCATTTGACTAATTTATTCCAACAAGGATAGAATGCCACTTACCCCAGAGTTTCCCATCCAAACTAATTCTTCCTTCCTATCGACACTAACAGCGGAGACTCCGAAGTGATCGCCTCCATCCACCAAAACTGTGCGGCTTTCCTGATATTCTCCACTGCTTATAAAATCTCCATCATGTGTGTCGTGGGGAAATTCTCCACTGGGTGAGAATGCCTCCCCAGCATTTCCAGCATATAATTCTGCATAGGCCGAGCTGTCCTCACTGAATGTGCTGCTCTCATTATAGCCTTTTTATGGAAAATGATGAAATAAAATGATGTCAAGGAATTTTATAAATATTGCTGCAATATGTTTATATAGCTACTGTGCATAAGACATGTATTTATATAATGTTTAACAACAGACAAATAAACAGCATAGAACTTTCTGAAGGAAAAAATGGTATTCTTATACAGCGCACCCTCCAAAATCCAGACAAATCCCTCTAAACAGACCAAATCCCCCCCCGTACAGTGGAACCTCCATTTTCAAATTTAATCCGTTCCCAGAGACTTTTCGAAAACCGAAAATTTAAAAAACTAAATATTTTCCCTTAAGAAATAATGTAAATTGAATTAATCTGTTCCACACCCCCCAAAAATATTAACTTAAAAATACATTTTATATATATACTACTACTTATATTTTGTACTACAGTATGTACAAGTATATCTTACCTTTATTGAGGACTCTTGTTGGCATATGGAAGAAAGTGAGGAGAGGTGTTCGTGTTTGGAAGGGAAGTCCCCTTCCATTATAACAGCAGTCATGACATTTCTGGGGTACACTCTTACATTTTGCAGGCATACCACTAAGCTCTGGTTGTGGCTCACTGCTTGCTTGTTTTACTTAGAATGTGTCTACAGACACTTGTTTTCCCCCTACGCTTTAACTCTTGTCTGTAGCGAGACATCACGTTGTCTCACGATGAACGATCTCGTTTCTCCTCTATCGTCATCCTCAACTATTTTCTTAGGTTGAACTTTACCACTGACTTTCTTGGAACCCTTGGCGTGACATAAGAACTTTTATGTTCAGGAACCAAAAAAGCACAAAAACAATGAAATTCTTCACAAAGAAGTCAAGCACGGTCATCACTAAGCGAGAGACACTGGTAAACAGAAGCACGCCATGTGCTCAGTCGGCCCATACGTGTATCAACAAACTCTAGCACCGAGGAAAACCTCGAGTACCGAGTCAAATTTTTCGAAGAAATTGAGCTCAAGACTTGAAAAATTAAAAAAGACATTCGAAAACCGAGGCTCCACTGTATTTTCCTTTTGAAAATTAATATTTAAAATAAAATATTTAACAATGGCAGTGCTGTGGGTGACTGCGTGACTGTGAACATCATTAACAGCATTATGTTTACCGATATCTGAACATTATGCACCGTTTATCACAGTCATGCTCATATATAATACTGTAATCACAAAATAATAGCAGTTTCATATGTATTTCATAATTTTTTAGTGATGTTATTGCTACAGGTTCAACAGCGGTGATGTTAGCTGGTGCTGCATACGCCATCCTTGGTAGCTCACAGTACCGTACATACCATGGTCTTCACAACCAGGAATGGCGCCCACAATTTTTTTCAAACAAACGTCTGTTTACTGGAGACCTGAGGAAATCGATCTCAGCCCCATGGGAGTTTTAAAATCTTGCACTATCCATTATTACTTTATATGATGTAATGTGCAGCCAAAAGGTTAACCACTGCACTGTGCATAGCACCTTAACCTGATCTATATTGTTATATATCATGTGAATACATGGTGTAATAACAGCAAAACCAGTATATATATGTTTACTGTTCTAAGCAGTAAATTGGTGTTGATAGACTGGTGGCGCACATAGCGTCTTAAGGCACTTTTAGGTATAGAGAATGATTCAAAACTTCCACGGGTTAACAGGGATCAGATGCTGTGCCTCAGGACTACAGTAAACAGATTCAAACTTTAAAAAAAATGTCTGCATCTCTTCTGGCTGCGAGAGCCTCAGTACTGAGAGAGCGACCAAGGTTGGTGCATACAGCGGCAGGTCACAGCACCACGTAAAAATTATAAACAAAATAATTAACATTATTTTTGCTTTGATAGTGTCATAGATGATCCTAACTGTGATGAAGACTATGTACAGTGTTCAGATATCAGTGAACACAAAGTTAGTTATGATGTTCACATCATGAGGCAGACAGCCACAGCACTCAGCCATTGTTTACTGCAAACAATATACACATCATGAAATGCCCTCATGCTCCCTTACAATACAAACCTTGTGGAAATGGATTAATATTCAGGATTAATGACAGGAATGTGATGATAATAGCAGTTCTGTGGCTAGTCTTAGAAATATGCATAGTATATTTGGATGCATTTTCTAGGATCAGTTGACATTTGGCGAGGCGTCGTCTGCTTGTATCGCATGCTCCATGCTATGTTTTGATTTCATCACCACACCCACCAGAACTGCTTATTAGTTTGTTATAGTGCATAAAAATGTTGATAAATATGGTGTGAATATAGTGTAATAATAGCAAAACCACTTTAATTGTTCAAAGCAAATAATGTTCTGTATATGTAACTAGATATGAACACCATATTTTTGAGTATTGCGATATTCCACACATTTAACTACCTGTATATAAATTCCTCAAATTACCCACTATTGAATAATATTACTGCAAAAAAAAAAAAACTAGATATAAAACCACTCAAAGCCATTGGAATAATTATGTAAAAATATATTTGTGGCAGCCCCCGCCACACTCTGCTGCTGCTGTGTCAAGCTTACCTTCGATCATGGTTTTATAAACCATAATTGTGGTTTATAAACCTTTGAGGTCTAAACTCGAAATAGACCATCTTAGTGGTTTGTTATTTTGCATAGAAATGTTGATAAATATATCTATCATTATATATGTGTGTACTATACAGTATAATAATATTGTAATACAGTAATAGGAAAACTATGATTAAGTGTTCAAGGAATATAATATTTGTACACGTATTAGTACACGACATGAATACTGTATATCTGTTAGTACCGATATTCTATACAATCTGTAAACCAAATATTATTGACAGCCCAATGCATCATTAAAAAAAAAAAAAAAATATGGTAAAAATATTTACAATATGAAGACAACATGATATATTCTATGTGTGCCATTACAATTTCATGAAAACAATGATGACTTGGCTGAACTCTGATAACCAGTTATAAAGTTATTACAGTATTGGGAGCAGGTTGAGTGCTGTAAGTGGTGTCCCAGGTTACATAAAGGTATAGGGACTTTGAAAAGTAAATAAGACAGGAAATAAGTGAAAGTCACCCTCCACAGAAGGTCGGCCTCCTGTGGAGGGTGCAAAAACTTGAACCCTCCCTACTGTGTTGCCCCCCCCCCCCCTGCCCCTCATCCTGTCAGGGCAGGGGAAACACAGCAATGACCTAGGGAAGCAACCCTAAGCACATACATGCACATTAGACAAATACCAAAAAGAAAACAAAAAAAAGAGGAGCAATACACAAGCAAAGGGCCCCCCCCCCCACAGAACAGTCTAAAGAAGGGCCAAAACTTTACTAGAAAAACTGGGACCCAAAGGGTCTTAGGTGACTAGGATTCCTGCTAATATCATAAAATCAGGCAAAGGGCTAAGGTGCTGTACTGACTGATATATGAACTCCCTGTCCTACCACCTGGCAGTAGCAATTGCTGCTTGAGTGAAGGTCTGATCTACTGTGCCTCGTATTATTTAGATATGCTTTGCTGTTACAGTATCCATTTTATTTCACTATCTTACTGGAGGCTTGTTTCATGGTTTGGGTGATGGTGAATCCTCTCTGCACCTGAGGGGACCATATATTGGCCTCTGGTGTGCCTTGAAATATATGGAGCTAACCAGGCAGCTAGCAACTGGGGAGCCAACATAAACCTCCTTACTAGAAGGAGAGATTAATTTAAAATCCAGAGGCTTATATTTTAGCCCATTAGAAAGAATAAGAAAAAGTAGCAGTATAAAAACTCTGTTACAAACCTAGAATTTCATCACTAAACTGAACTGCTGAAAAATCCATCTCCAACACAGCACGGATAAAACCTGGTAGTTCAAAGAGAAGACAAAAATTTAGCATAAAAATTACATCACCACTTCTTTACCTCAATGATACTTAAGCATTTACAAACTCTAAACATTTCCACTGGAATTTTTAGGTGCTCTACATAAACAAGTTTTATATTCTGCCTTAAACTATACCTGTATTAACTGTTAGCTTAACCACTTAACTGTGCCTTAAGATGCTTTGAAGGCTGTGCAATTTTTTTTTAATTAGGGCCATATTTGAAGGTTTTTAATGTTTTTATCACGCTTTGTGATTTAAAATGAAAATGGTTGAGTTTGAAAACATTTTATCATTAACAATAGCTGAATACAGGTATTTATAAAAACAACAAAAATATGTCCTTACCTGCACCATGAAATTTTTGCCAAAAACTGGTCCACGGTGTAGGGGTTAATAAATACTAATGTGATTTTAAAATACAGTATCTGCAATATGCAGGCGATGAGTCACAATAACGTGGCTGAAGTATGTTGACCAGACCACACACTAGAAGGAGAGGGACGACGACGTTTCGGTTCGTTCTGGACCATTCTCAAGTTGATTGACACTCAACTTGAGAATGGTCCAGGACGGACCGAAACGTCATCGTCCCTCTCCTAGTGTGTGGTCTGGTCAACATATCTGCAATAACCTACAATACAATCTAAAAAAAATTATTATTTCCCTCTAATAATGCCACAGGATTGATTCTTATCGCTACCATATACAATATTTTTATAATATATAGGTTAACCAAATTTCTCTGAACTCTCATCCAACCAATTCGTTCAATCAGGACAGATCGAGAATGAACCGGAGGACCGAAGAATCCAGTTTCAGGGCAGAAACAGGTGGGAAACTTACCGAAGAGACAAGGTCATTTCAACCATCCCTGAAGTCTCCCACTCTGAGATGTCCCCCTCTCCTTGCCTACAAAGGCAAGGAGAGGGGGGGGACCTGCCCCAAAAGCCCCGAACCTCCCAAAGGAAGCGGGATTGACCAAATCCACTGCAGGTTGCAAGAAATGACCTGAGAAACGCACAAGACTGAGCAACCAGCTTAACCCTTATGCTACTCAGCTTAATGAAAATTCAAGTCACATTCTGTAAAAATAATACTCATATCAATAACACAATCATGAGCATTTTTGAATTAAAATAGGGAATATTAAGGAATCAGGGGAAATATTCTTGGGAAAGCAATATGGCAAATGTGGTTAAGTGCATCAATAAGAATATCTGACCATTCACTTTATAAAAGGTTGTGAGGTATGCCACGAGACTAGTCCCAGAGCCGAGAAGTATGAGCTACAAGGAAAGATTACTGAAACTAAACCTTACGACACTGGAAGAGAGAAGAGTTAGGGGCAACATGATCACTACCTACAAAATTCTCAAGAGGAATTGACAGGATAGACAAGATTAAACCGTTTAACACGGGAGGTACACGAACAAGGGGACACAGGTGGAAACCACAGGAACGTTAGAAAGAACTTTTCCAGTGTGAGAGTAGTTAACAAATGGAATGCATTAGGAAGTGATGTGGTGGAGGCTGACTCCATACACAGTTTCAAGTGTAGATATGATAAGAGCCCAATAGGCTCAGGAACCTGTACACCTGTTGATTGACGGTTGAGAGGCGGGACCAAAGAGCCAGAGATCAACCCCCCACAAGCACAACTAGGCGAGTACTTTCCGTAACCGGAGAACCAATAGTTGATGAATATAATCACATTACAACTACATTACCTGCTCAGACAACGTAGCCTAAATATGAAATCGTTGTGAAATAAAGGTAAGGAAAGTGGTGTCAGATATTAGCAACACTTGTGGGGATCATGTTGCAACACATGCACGCCAGCAGCTGAATATCAACACATATAACACTTTCTCAGAATTTGTTTTGTTTATGTCCTTGTGGATGAGAGAGAGAAGCGTGGAGTGTGGGAGGAGGGAGCGTGCCTGTTACGTGCTCACCACCACACTACTGGAGGCCTGCTGGCTGCTACACTCACATATAACAGTGTCACACACACCCTCCAGCCTCTACACATAAACCTGTTCGTTCACAAACAAGTTGGTATACACCAGCCGTCTCGTATGCACACATGCGCTGGCTCGTGTTCGCTGCTCTTCCCGTCTTCCAAGACACTGTTATCACCACAACGAGACAATAGAAATTTATAAGAAGTTAAGAATATGAATAAATAAATGGTACTTGATCATATAATTAGCACATATCTTCAAATAATGTTTAACTTAGATTCAAATAATGTTTAAGCTAAAGTTTCCGCCCTAACATCTTTACATATCATTTTTATTATTATATTATTTGTATTATAATATTATTATTGTATTATTATTATTTTTTGAGATATATACAAGAGTTGTTATATTCTTGTACAGTCACTAGCACGCGTAGCGTTTCGGGCAGGTCCCTGGAATACGACCCCCACGAATAATAATTTTTACAACCAATTACCCATTTTACTGTTGAGTTAAACAGAGGCTACAGTTAGGGATTTGCACCCAGTAAATCCTCCCCGGCCAGGATACGAACCCATGACAAAGCGCTCGCGGAACGCCAGGTGAGTTAGTGATCATTATGATGATTATATCAACGTATCTATGCATCTCCGTATCAAAGTATCTGTGCATGGGGGTCTACCCCCATGCACAGTTCAATAGGTTCTTCTCTTCCATTGGGTCATCCCTTGCAAATGATATTCCATCTTCCAGTACTGACGTTAAGGACTATCTTACAGGTAACTATCCACAGTCTCTGTACCTAAAGCCTATTAATTCCACTGACGTCAATGAGATAATCCTTTCCTTTAAAACCAAGTCTAGTGCCCTTGAGGAGATACCAACTTTAATTTACAAAAAAGCCTCCAGAACTTTAGCCCCTGCTATTGCATTGCTCTTCAACAAGTCACTTGAACTCCAAACCTTTCCAGATATCCTAAAAAAAGCGAGTTACCCCTGTACACAAATGTGGTGATCTCACAGATGTTAACAACTACAGACCTATATCAATCCTGCCTAACTTGTCAAAAATTTTTGAAAAACTAATCTACAAGCAGCTTTACTCTTATCTTGCCAAACACAATATACTTAGCTCTTGCCAGTATGGCTTCAGACCCAAAAAAAGCACTAACGATGCACTTATTAGTATGCTTAACTTGATTCATACAGCTCTTGATAAAAATGAGTTCCCTGTTGGGTTATTTGTGGACCTGCGTAAGGCTTTTGACACTGTCAACCACCAAAACCTTCTTCTTAAATTACATCATTATGGAGTCAGAGGACACTCCCTGCAATACCTCAAATCCTACCTTACTGACAGGCTCCAGTATGTTTCTGTGAATAATTCAATTTCTCCCACCCTACCCATCAACATTGGTGTTCCTCAGGGCAGCATACTTGGCCCTCTCCTCTTTCTCATCTACATTAATGGCCTTCCAAATGCCTCCCAACACCTCAAACCAATTCTATTTGCTGACGACACAACCTTCATTTACTCCAGTCCTGATCCCCTTGCTCTAAATGCCACAGTAAATACTGAGCTAAATAAAGTCCATCTTTGGCTAACTGCCAACAAACTCACCCTTAACATTGACAAAACTTTCTATATTCTGTTTGGCAATAAATCCTCTAATCAAATAAATTTCAAAATAAACAATACCCAAATTTGTAACAAATTAGATGGCAAATTCCTTGGCATTCTCATTGACCACAAGCTGAATTTCCAGGGACACATTCTAAATATATCAAAAAAAGTTTCAAAAACTGTTGGCATTCTTTCTAAGATCAGATATTATGTACCACGCCCTGCCCTGGTGACTCTCTATTACTCCCTCATCTATCCATATCTCAACTATGGTATTTGTGCTTGGGGCTCTACTACCCAAAATTATTTACGTCCTCTAATTACTCAACACAAAGCTGCTATTAGGACAATATCCAACTCTGGCCCGACATCACTCGGTACCCCTACTCAAATCTCTGAATATGTTAGATATTAAGTCACTGCACATTCTCTCATGTGTATTATACATATATAAAACGCTGAACTGTAATGCCAATCCTGACCTCAAAAGCTTCATAGAAGGTTATAACAGAACCCATGAGCACCACACCAGAAATAAATACAGTTTTGATATTCCTAGAGTACGACTTAATCAAACTAGAAATGCTCTACAAATCAAGGGACCCAGAATGTGGAATGACCTTCCTAACCATGTTAAAGACTGTACCTCTCTCAACCAGTTTAAGATAAAAACGAAGTTATACCTAATAAATTCCCTGTAACCTACCTTACCCCGCTATTGTCAACCAATGTCTGTTTTTTTTAAATGGCGCTGTTTGTCGACATAATTGTATTTGTGCTGCTTTTTCAGCCATGTTTCCCCCCTTTTTTATATCTTTTTTTTATTTTTTGTTCTCAACTCATTTTATTCTTTATGCTCAATTAGTATTAAGCTTTAGTCATTTAAGTTTTTCATGCCCGAAACGCTTTGCGTAATAGTGGCTTTAGGCATTGTATGTACTAGCCCTATCTATAAATCCATCACTCTTTGTAAAATCTCTTGTATGTATGTACCTTACCTAAATAAACATTTGATTTGATTTGATTTGATACCACTGCAAACCACCTTAAGCCTATCATCACCCAGCAAAAATCTGTAAGCTCTGTAATTACTTCATACTCTCAGGAATATTGGAAGATATTCTTGTGCTGTACCCAGATTTTGCCTCACCACCCTCCAATAGGATGGAAGACATGTTTACTGTTATTAGGGAAAAGGTTTGAGTTCTTCATAGTGCTGAAAAGAGTTTCGCTTCTTTCATTAAGCTAATGAGTTTGGAGAGAGTATATTGTTTATACTTACTACAGTTATATCCATCAATGATATAGATGAGAATATTACAAGCCATATCATGAAATTTGCAGACGACACAAATATTTACGGTAGAGTGGGAAATGATAATGATATTTAAGCCTTAGAAAGAGATCTACATGAACACAAATAGTCAAAAGACAGGCAAATGCTTTTTAATATTGACACATGCAAGACCATGCATGTGGGGCATAACAACCCACACCACGACTACCAAATTAATAGCATTACATTACAGCAGATTGATGAAGAAAAGGACATTGGAGTCAAAATCCACTACTCATTAAAAGTTGCACAACAGATGGGTGCAGCAGTCAGAAAAGCTAACCAAACTCTTGGGATAATCAAACGTACTTTTCACTATAAAGAAAAGAAGGTAATGGTTCAGCTGTATACATCTCTGGTGCGCCCCCATTTGGATTACTGTATCCAAGGATGGAGACCTCATTTCCAGGACATAGCTGCTCTGAAGAAGATGCAACACCGGGCAACAAGAGTCATTCCAGAACTAAGTTATCTCCTGTATCAGGAACGGTTGAAGACCACAGAGCTATCAGTACTGCAAACCAGGCATGACAGGGCGGATCTCATTGAAACTTTTAAAATACTGAACAAGTTAGAGGATGTTGATCCGGATATTTTCTTCAGAAGGTCAGATGTAACACAAACAAGGAGCAACGGTTTCAGGCTCAACAATCCACATTGTAGGACTGAGAACAGGAGACGCTTTTCACCCAGAAGGTTATTAACCCATGGAACCGCCTACCGCTGAAGCCGTAACTGCCAAAACGGTTAAGGTTTATAATATATCGAGAAAAGATCATCAAGGCAAATGGGGGGGGACCTTCGACAAGCCGCCAGCTTCCTGTCCTCGTCGAGACGACTAGGGTTAGTGGCCCTCAGGTAAATCAAGTAGGTAAAACTGGTCCTTAGGTGATAGTTTTCTATAATAATAAATGATTATTCAGGTAAAATAAATACATTCAAAATGAGTTACAAACAGAATGTTGGATTGGTAAAAGTCCTCGTTGGTTACATTAATTGTAAGTGACTCCTTATCATCCTTAAATGCTCTCAACTCTTTAAGACATAACTGTAACATGCTCGTGTCCAAAGCTAGACACAAATACAACAAAATTATTAAGGATGGTAACAAAGTCCATTTCATGTGGTCTCCATCTCATGTTGGCCTCCGAATGCATGATAGAGCTGATAAGTTAGCCAAAGAATCTGCCTTTAAAGGAGCCGTTGAGTGTAACCTTGGATTGTCAATGAGCAATCTGAGAGCAGCAGTACACCGAGAACTTCAACAAGATCTTGTAGATCTGAGGCAAAGTGAAATTGACACCAGTAATTCCATCTATCATCATACTATCATGCAAGAGGAGCCACACATCTATGGATCATCCAATAAAATCAGCAGACTTCTAGATGTTACTACTGCTCGGCTTAGACTCGGTTTAAGTATCTCTGGGAATTCTCATTATCTGCTGATGTAGACCTGACCAAATGTAAACTGTGTCAACAAAATTATTCGCACACCCTCCGTCACTATGTGATGGAGTGCGAAAAGATACGTGAATTTAGAGATAATTCTATAACCAATGTTCCAGCGATG